GGCAGCTTAGAATCCGTTGTGCTCCAGGGAATGACTAGGTCATAACAGTGATGATGTCCATAAAGACTTGGCAAGAAGGATGTTTTGTGTCATCATTCACTTTGAGACCTCTTTACTTGGACTCTTCTGCTTTCACAATCCAGTTCATTGCTGCGATGAAGAGGGTACAATTGAGATGGTACATCCCATCAGGGCCATCTTGGATATTCAAATAAATGTATTCCAAAATTACTTATTCTTTTGGCAGCCATTTTGGTTGCCACCCTGAATATCCAAATAAAAAAATTATTTGATGACTAAGTTGTAGACATAATTAAAGTTCTCGACCATTGAAACCTAGACATGGTCTCCAAAATCACTTTGAACATATATTAATAGTAACATATTCATTTTAGCAGCCATCTTTGATTTCCACATCAAGTTATTCTTTGATGACTAAGACAATAAAATCATTGATCCCCAAACACTTTCATGGTCTACAAATTTAATTTTTATCTGTTCTTTGAGCGAAATATCGATACATGTAGTTACATTTTCATTTTGGTGTCCATCTTGGATTTCCATATAAAGCAACTCTTTGCTGACTTAAATGAGGCATAAAGGAAATCCTTGACCCCTAAACCCTTTCATTGTCTACAAAATTGCTTTTTATCTGTTCCTTAAGCTTACATGTATATCAGTACTGTTATGACATATTCGTTTTGGCACCTATTTTGCGGCCATCTTGGATTTCAATATAAAGTAATCCTTAGATGACATTGCTTTAGACATGAATAAAATCTTTAGACTCTAAAACCTCTTCTAAAACTCTTCAAAATCATGTTGAAACGTTTTTGAGCTTGTATCATTAGTACATATTTGTTTTTGAACCAAATTTGGCGGCCATCTTGGATTTTCATATAAATTAATGTTTTGATGACTTGGATTTAGGAATATCTCAAATCATTGACCCCTAAAACCCAGAATTAGACCCAAAAATCACTGATTTTGCCTCTCGGTATGCTTAGATATAACTTCTTTTATATGGTAGCAAGCGCACCGGCGGCCATTTTGATGGGTGATAACACCTATTAAGCTACCACTTCTGCAATGCTATCACATATTTTCTTACTTTAGGGGTCTAGACCTTCCCAAAAATCACCATGGCCATTATTCCCCTGATTAGGTACCGACCAACCCCCCAGGCTGATCGCCTATTAAGCTAAGAATAAAATCAACGAACCTATCCTTTTAATTGAGAATCCTGTTCAATTGAGAATGAATTTCTGAAAATTAAAAATTCAATGGAATGGAAGCTGTGTTACTTGAAACATTGATTCTGTAAGTGATATGAACATATTGAGCAAGGCCGAGAAGTTACACTGCAGTATTATTGAATTTTATAACACGAGCAGTTAATAAGACAGGTGCTGTACATGTACATGTATTTCATTATTGAACTTGAGATATAATTTCAAAAAGAAGCAGAATATATAAGCTGTAAAGTTACCGGCTGAGATATCCAAGTTCATATTTTTTAGTCCACTTCTCGTGTTTTCTCAGTATATGTGCCTCGGAGCCACTCAAACTATTAACTGTAAGTAAACTGTGTATAAACAAGGCATAAAATGACAAATCAAAAACAGGAACGTGGTGTATATTGTAAATAAGGTTTCAAACGCAATGACGTTAGACGACAACGAATGAATTCTATGGACGGTAACGTATTGTATTAATTGTACATTGGATATTTAGCGGACGGTTACGTGCATGTATACCCTTCACTGGCGGATCTGGGGGAGGGACTGCCCCCCCCCCCCTTGGGGGGTCCCAAAAATTGGCCCAAAAACATTTGGGGCCAAGAAAGGCCTCTAGGTCATTACTGGGCCTCTTTAGGCCTTATTTTTTAATTTCAGGCCAAATTTTGAAGATATGGGGTTTTAGGGGCCCAAATTTTTTTTCTCTGAGCTGAAATCCCCCCCCCCCCTTGTTGGTTCCCAGATCCGCCCCTGCCTTTCAAATCAAGGTTGCTAGTTCTGATAGCCTCTCCCATGTCATTGTTATAATTGGTAAGAAATGGAATATTGAATTGCTTATATTTGTTTTCAAGACTCGCAAGAGACGCTCTTGTTTGAGCCTCTATGGGGCAAGCACAAAATTGTGTCTTGCTTTATTCATGAAACCAATTAAAGTAAAAAAGATAGCAATGGAGGGGCAAAAGAAGAATTTCACCCGCTATGGCTCAGTGGCAGAGAGAGTCAAGGTTACCAATATCGCTTGGCCCCGGGTTCGATTCCCGGTTCAGACAAGTTTGTTTGTGCGTTATGTAATTCTGGGTGTTTGACTGAGTGGTTCACGACTCGTATAAAAGGCTGTGGTGTGTACCTGTATGTCTGTGTACCTGTGCACATAAAAGAAAACAGGGCTCCTCCAAGGAGGGGTTTCTGGCTCTATCTTCGAGTGTAAAATACGTAAAATACGGAATATACCAATGAGGTATTGCTCGCCAGATATGGCGGTAACCAAGATATAATAATAACAATCAAGTACAGGGTGTCCAAAAAAAAACAGGACCGTAAGAAAGTTGAATAACTCGGTCAATTTTGCATATTTTGCCTTGAAATTTAAGACTTATTTAGTTCATTCAATGTGAATTTTGTTCTGAAAGTTTGATGATAATCTGTTTATTGTGTCAAAAACTACAGTCCTTTACAAAACATGCTCAAAGTGGGCACTTCTCCTCTCTATGCACAAACGAATCCTGCGAACAAAGTTGTTAATGACCCTTACCTATACACATTAATGTGGATGGTAAATATTGGGGTAGTTATCGCCCTCTTAAGATTGTTAGGGGCCTGTCAGTATGCACACTGGCTTTGGGAAATCCTCAAATATAAAAATTTGGGGGATTTAGATCACGCGAATGAGCTGCCCATATGGTTTGCGTTCTGCAACTGATGAGCTGACCACCAAAGCATTGCCTAAACCATTTCAGCATATCATTTGCAGTGTTGGGGTGGTATTGGCTTGTTGAAACCACTGCTTAATTATCTCCTAAGATGTCCCTTCTGGTGCTTACTGACCTCCAAAACTTGGTGAGAACTTACTGGTCCTTGTTCATGGTGATAGCAAGTCCCCAGTCACCTTCGAACCAAAAGGGACTGATGATTCCATGTTTCCTCATTGCCACCGAGGGAGTGCATTGTTCAGAATGCAATGGGTGCTGTAACACTTCATCAGGAGGATGTAAGCCCCAGAAGCAATTGTTCTTGGAACAAACTTGTCCATTCAGATAGACATGTGTGTAGGAGGATCATCAACAGCTTTGTTCGCCGGATTGAATCGTGCATAGAGATGAGATTTGCACATTTGGGGCATGTTTTGTAAGGAGCTGTAGTTTTTGACTCAATTGGTAGATTATTACCAAACTTTCACAACAAAATTCACATTGAATGAACTAAATAATTCTGAAATTTCAAGGCAAAATATGCAAAATTGACCAAGTTATTCAACTTTCTTACGGTCCTGTTTTTTTTTGGACACCCTGTACTAATGCATATGACAAAATTAACAACAATGAATCAGAGATGCATATTTGACCGAGGTTCGCGTAACCGTCCATCAATTTTGGGCGTAGCTGCAAATTCAAAGAATGGACTAAAAATATGAACTTGGATATCTCAGCCAGTAACTTTACAGCTTATATTCTGCTTCTTATAAACCACCTGGCAGATTTGACCCAGTCTTTATAACCATCCATATATACGTCACCGAATGGAACTAGTTGAGAAGGAAATTTTATCTGTGAATCTTGCCTACAGGCGAGAAAGAGGACATGCTACCTTTCCCATCCGCCATTTTTTTGTTATCGTTTCCGCAAATTTTTGCAAATCGCCTTGACGTAACCGTCATGCTATAACACCTTGAGTATACTAATGAATCTACCGGTTTAACTCCTCTATTTCTGTGTTAATTTCATTTGGGATTTGCATTTGCTGTACAGCTAGCAAGTAACCAGAGAAATGAGTGGTGGGGAGGGAGGGGGTCACCTTGTACTAATACTGTAATATGAGAGTATAGTGATTACTAACAGTACCATATTCAACTGAACTGCAACCGAAATGATTATACAGCGCGTCACAAAAACGCAACAAGTATAAACATTGTGAAGCCACAAAACCAGTGATGATTACATCACAGTGGTTAATAAGCCCAATATGCTTACATGGCGGGAAATTCAAATATTAGAACCTTCTTGTGGGGTTGCTCAATGCACTGTGACAAACAACACACCGGAATTAGCGACGAATAGCGACAAATAACACACAGAATTAGCGACGATAAAATGCCATGAAATAAGGACCAACGGTTATGTCCGCCATTTGTGACAACGGTATCTGACTTTATCGTTGTCAGGCTATTCCGGTGAGAAATAAGTCAGGATTTATACAGACCAAAAAAGTTATGGACATTATAATTATATATGTAGGTGGGTTCCATTTTGTATTGTCACGTGGTATATTTACTGTTGTATTGCCTAATTATTGTATTATATTGGATTACTATCAAGATCACTGGTCAGTAACAACCGAAGGTGACGGCCGTAACCTTCGCATCTAAGATGGCGGATGGTGATTGTCGCTATGCTTTGATATTTGCACCAAATCAAGCTTATATGACATGGGAAGTATGGAATATGATTATTTGTTCACATATCATGCGTCGACGCGACAGTTCAACGATATCTTCCACCGCTTAAGGGAAGGTAATTGGAAATGTATAATACGGTAACGGTCATGTTAGTTTTCAATGCGCGGTAACTTAGCTTTCCATGATAAACTCTCATAGCGTTATCGCATCACCACATCTCAGTTATCATATTTTCAATAAAACCAGAATCACAGTTATATTCCCTTTAGCGGTGGGAGATATCGTTGAACTGTTGTGCCTATAAAAACATTACATTCACTATAATGTAGTTTAATTCGATGAAAGCAAAAAACAGTGAAGATAATGCACTATATAGGCATTAATCATGGCCTGCTTTTATTACATTAAACATTTCTAATTAAAACATTTCATTTTATTAACACATAATTGTCACCTTATTAGGTATTTTAAATACAAATATTAAACAATCTGAATGGTGTAAAGTAATTGAGACTCAAGCAGTGACATCTTTAAATTTGATTTAAAGATAATTTCACGGATTATGAAGTACTTTAAGTATACTTAGTTTATGGACAACGTTGAAGTACAATCAACCATAACAACAAAAAAAACATTCATTACTCAAAAAGTTCACAATAAAACAAGATATAACTAAATATTGCATTATGTATGTACAAAGCTACATGGGCCAAAGCTACATGTTTACAACGTCATTAACTACATAATGTAGAACTTTACTCTTTGAAATAATTTTGTGTTACATGTAAACGCGTACCATATTATTATCGTGTGTCCCATACATCAAGATAAAGTACATTAGAAAGGACACTTTCAATAGAATTAAATAAATGAAATGTTTTTGTTTTTGTTTTTTAGTAGAGTTTTGTACACTTTCTGAAAAACAATGATATACATGGAGGCCTCTGTGGAAGCAACATTAAGTAAAGGTACTGTGAAGTGCAACTACATACATGTATAAATTATTCCTTAAATAATAAATTAATGTAAAACTGTAACCATAGCAACTTAAACTACTTCTTCATTAGCTTATTAGATGCAGCTAAATAGAAAGAAAAATACTTGAAACAGGCTTAATTCACATTCACATCATGAAATAGGAACTGTACACAAATGAATGTTTTGTATATGTACACTATAACTGTATTAACCTCTTGAATACCCAGAATGACGGATATATCTGTCACAAATAAAATCCATTTGGAACCCAGAGTGACAGATATATCTGTCACAGAATTTTTCACTAAAACTGCTCTAACTTTGGCATTTTTTATCCAATCTTCACAACTAATGTTTTAGAATGTATGTAATGGGTCTATGTTTACTCTTCTTATGAAATCAAATATCAAACATAGTGTTTTTAGATGTAAATATCCAGAAAACTAGCAGAAAATGAAAAATGCTCTGGTTTCAAACCCTTTTTAGAGGCTGGTATTCAAGAGGTTAACAACAGTTGTGATAAGAAATGACAATGTAGGGTTGGGTAATACTCTTAATTCTCAGAGAAAGTATATTATATTTTTTCAATAACAAATTACACTTCAACTAGATTATTAAGGATATCAGAATTGAATAATTTGTGAAAATGAGCAATATAACAAGAAAGTTCCATTGAAATGGTATATACATGTAGTCACTATTTTCTATACAGAATAGAGAAAATAAGCAATATCTTATCTTCCATTTTATGATTCCTTTCTTTTACGACATGTTTCCCATATTATCTTATTCACATTGTCACTTGCTGCATGACAATTGCTACATTGCTGTTGCAATTTACAAGTCGGAACGTGAAGATTTGCTTTTGGCTGCATTTATTCCAGCAATGCGCCCAAAAACTGTGCACTCTAGGAGACTATTTCCTCCAAGGCGATTGTTCCCATGCACACCTCCAGATACCTCCCCTGCAGCATATAGTCCTGGAACTACTTCTTTGTTCACATTTAACACCTGGGCGGAGGGGTTTATCTCTATACCTCCCATACAGTAATGCAAGGTAGGTGTGATGAATGCGGTCAGGAAATGATCCGTTTCAGAAAAAACAACAGGAAATACTGTTTTTCCAAATTGATCTTTTCCCGCTTGTGAGCTTTCCTCGTACTCTGATAGTGTCTTCTTCAAAACCTCTGGACTCAACTCTAACTTAGTGGCAACATCTGAAAATGAGGAAAAAACTTAGTAGAAAAATTATGTTTGAACATAACATGTGCAGGCATGTGGAAGTTACACTCCCCATATAAAGCTTTTATTAGGATGTTGTTAAGCCTGTCGTCAAATCTTCTTTTGTATTGTCATAATCTGCTTATCGTGACAATACTAGTTTTATTTCATTCAATAGTGCTTATTGTAGTAAATCCAAATGTAGTTGCCGATGACTTTTGCTTCGGCAGATTTTGTTAACAATTTTTGTATCGTGGAATTAAAAGAACAAAAAAAATGTTGGTCCTTTAGAAAAACAGTTCAGAAATTTATGAGAAAATTTAATGAATCTTTTTCAATGAAGTTTAAACAGGCTTTAACTGGCAATCCTGAATGGATATCTTCTGGATGCCACACTAATTGAGGGGGTATAAGGAAAAAGATAATGGCATTGTTAAGTTTTTAACATATACAATAATGGCATTTTTCAAAATTGATAAAAAATAAAGTAGGCTTCAAATCCTTAAGGCAGTGGATGCAATACCAGCGTATATTGCAGTTATTCATTGCTGGGGGAAGAGTGATGTCCATGAGGGAATGATATTTGATACAGAAATATACATTTTTGTGCATGTAGCCAGCTTTTTGTAGGGGGGAGGGAGGGGGGGGGCTCATATCTTACACCTGCCCTGTCAACCCTCACGCACTAGGCGTGATTGTCACGCATTTGCTGGAAAAATAGAAATCACGCATCAATTTAGCGTGTATGATCAAATATCACGCAAATCACGTATTTTGTTGAAATTTTTAAAAATCGTTTTTTGTGAAATGCCGACATGGTAAAATACCGAACGGCGAAAAAAAGCGAACGCAAATAATGGATAAATCCCTACCAAACCGAATGCATGTTTTCATGAATCGCCATGTTTGTTATCCAAGGACGGTTGACTCCCAGAATGCAACATCAGTTACCGTATTTACTCATGACAGGTTTCAAAATGGCGGAACAGCATTTTGAAAGCTGGCACGTGTCATGTTGCATTCTGGGAGCCAATCCTCCGTTCCGGCACAATCGGGCGACAAAATCACCTCAACATTTGAAGAGTCGGCATAACATGTGAATATCCACTTCAACTTTTGAAGTTCTTATTTGTCATTAGGGACACAAATGCCACTATATTTGGACTTACTCAGACGGAGAAAATAGAGCACTGAATACACTGAGGTAAGAATTTATTACATGTGCGACAGCATGTAATTTTCATAGCTTTTGCAATTCTTTATGATCCCCACTGTATATATCACGCATTTGTTTCGAAAATATTCACACCTACCCTGGTGGTGAGATTTTACATGTTAATGCCTTCTTATGTAATAGGTACTATGTTACATTTTGTTTTAAACTACATAATCTTGGGCTACCTACCTTCCAGTGTTCCCACATCTTGGATAATTTTCTTGAATTTGTAGAATCCAGCAGAGGGCGCCCCAAATTTATCAATCACATCTTTATTCATCAGCATAACAGCTGTCGTTGGGCCATCCTCAATTCCTGGATATGTTGAACATTCACCGAATATCTTCTCGGTAAGATAATCACGACGTCCAAGCTCATTGGCAAATCTAGCGCCATCTTTGTTAAGGAGTATAGCTCCACATCCTCGGAGAGCCTCTGGGGCGAGGAATTTAGTTGAGTGGGTGGGTTGTGTTGGTTCGATGAAGCCTGTGGGGTGAACTTGTACCTTGTCCATGTGTATCAGAGACATTCCCGCATCACGTCCTATCTTCACAACATCTCCTACGAATAAAATAAAATGGATTAATAATTTGATAGGACTGACCAACACAGAATGGTGTAAAGCTATACAAGGCAGGCCCGTAGCCTGAAAGGGCCAAAATTCTTTCAAAAGCATGCAGTTTTTCACCATTCTGAGCACTTTTGTTAATGATTTTGGCCATTTTTGGACCAAAATTATCAAAAGTGAACCCCCCTGGAATTTTTCAAAAAGTTGGAAAATCCTGACTACAAGACTGAAAGTCATTGTATTTAAAGTAGAATGTGCCCTTTACATGTATTTACACAGTAGGAGTGATTCCTTTCCCTAGATGTGTCTTACTTTACATGTATTTACAGTTTTACACAGTATGAGTGATTCCTTTCCCTAAGTTTGTCTTACAAGTACAGTAACATTTTGTTGTGTCACGAATAGACTTTTAATGTTTCAATTTTCAATTGTTTTTGGATATTAAAATAATTATTTCCATATGTTTTGATTTCTTCAGGAAAACCTCTAAAAATGTTTCACTTAGGGAGGTGCTCCACTTACAGAGGCTCATTTAACATTAAGGCAGTTGGTGTTTGGACTCTGAAAAGTGTGACACAAACAGAGGTGTTCCCTATGTGGAGGTGTTCAACTTTAAGGTTTCACTGTACATGTATGATTCTACTGTACCTGTAGCCCAAGGGCCATTAGTTGTAGGTAGTTTGGCAAGTTGCGGTGTGTACTCAGCTAGAAGCGATGTTTCTGTGTGGTCATTGGCGTATCCTCCTGCAGTGAGAATAACAGCATCTGCTGCTAACTCTTTCTGCTCTCCATCTTCTGTAGTGTATGCTACACCTTTCACAGTGCCATCCTCAATGAGGATTGTCTTCAATGTAGATTTGGTCAGGACATTGACTTTATCAGCAAGCTCATTTTCAACAACTTTACGGAGTGTTGATACAATTGTCCAACCTACTGGTGATGGCTTCCCTTCTGGGGTAGGAGGGATTCTGTGTGTGCGGGCAGCACTGTGACCACCGAGTTGGACAACAGATGTGAGATTCACCCCAAAGGATTTAAGGAATGTGATCGCATCACCACTTTTTTCTCCAAGAACTTGAACGAGCTCTTCTTTTGAAAGACCATCTCCCGATGAGAGTGTATCGCTTACGAAAGCATCAATGCTATCTGTCACCTTATTCGCTGACTGTGCATCTGTGCCAACGCCATTGATTCCTGATGTAGCTTTAGCGGAGTTGCCACCCAAGTTCTTTTCTTTCTCAATAATTGTTACTTTTGCTCCCAGTCGTGATGCTTCAATGGACGCACTTAAACCAGCTAAACCTCCACCAACAACAATCACAGATGCATCAGAGTTTCCGCTATTCATTTTAGTTGCATCAACGCTTAACGCCAGAAACGCCTGCAAAACGGTTAAATAAATATGTCTTGTTATCAAGTGATTTGTCTTGTGTATAGTTAACATCTTATCGTCACGTTTAAAGGTTAATGTATGCGCCAATATGGACGAAAACATGTTTAAAAACGTGTCACCTGGGGTCACTTCCGTGTTTTTTTCTCTGCCGGGTTACTCTACTGTGGCATATTTCGTGCAATGCTTTCCATAAATAGGATTTCCCCGGGTTGTCTCAAAACTGCGTTAACGACAATTTGCCGGGTGTAAATTAGATGATTTCTTAATATCAAACTTAAGGAGGAAGACACTTTGAAATCATCAGTGTCATAATAATGTTGAGATGTCAAAAATGACCTTAAATTACATGTTCGCATATTGACTGTAGCAAAAGGAAAATTCGCTTTGTTCGTTAATATACCGCATCAAAAATGAAAAACAGATGCTGAAAAATTGCATAAATTTGTGTAGACTTTCTTGTGAAATTATGATGTAGTTCAAGCTAATAATGGGGGATTTTAGTCCACCCGTTACCATCACGGAGCTTGTACAGGTAGGCTAAATCAGCGTGTATATTCGCTGAACGAGAGTCTTTTTAATTTGGTGTCTAAAATTTGGATTATTTTTTTCAGATTTTTGATCGACTCGGATTAACTTTGAGTAGGCCTACTTTACTCGAGTCTCTAGCTTACAGCTAGACGTAACTTCATTGATTTCGTATGTAATCTAGAAAAGGTGCTACACGCACCTACACGCACCTAGAACTCATTTTTAATAAATTTTATAAATATTTTTAAGAATATTAATCATATTTTGGATGAAGCGTTACTTGTCTGGATTTAGATATTTCAAAATTTCATTTCGGAGTTTGACACATGGTGAAATTTTCTCGCTGTAGCTAAAAATGGCTTCCGGTTCTGGACTTGAATAAAATTTGAAATTATTCTCGCTAAAAGAAATCAAATATAACAATAGATTCAGACGGGGATGTGAGCTGATGTTCTTCAAATCTATACATAAAGGTATATTTCATATTATTATGCCATATTTACTGTGCGTGTGACACAATGATTTACACTATTTATAATACTAAGGCAGCTCAATCTTCCTACTCAAAGCCGGAATAGAGAAGGCTTTGGACCGAAGTAAGCTCATACTTAGTAGAGTACAAACACACATGATATCCATATTAAAATGGCACGTATATCAAACCCCACTTTTATCTATAAAGAAACTAATAATTTGTAAATATAACTGAGTCTCCTTTGGATTTACCTGACTTCGTAGTTCTAGGAGTCTTGCATTGAACCTCGACGTACATGTATAGGCCTAGACTAGATCTATGGTTACTTCATCAAGGGAAGAATTTAACCCTGGAATTATTTCGACATTAGCTAACATTTTAATCCCTGCATCCCATCATGTTTGTTTTTTAAAACGTAAAGGCTAGAGTACCGACAATTGTCGGTTCTCTAGACTCTGATGTGGTGGCACGCTAGAGGACCGACAAATAAATTGTCGGTACGGGAGATATGCTGTGTTTACACGCTAGAGGACCGACAAATATTGATTGTCGAATTTTCTGGCGCATGCGCAATGCGCGGGGGGATATTTCGGATATCATACGGATATTTTGGGAACAAGTGCAAAACCCGGGGAGGGCATAAGCCCCGGGGATTACCAAACCCAGTCAAAAAATGGCAGCCCGGGAACAAGGAATGGTAGTAAACGTTGAAAACCCAATAAAAAGGAAGGGGCGTTTGCTACCCATTAGATAGAAGAAAATAGCTAGAATGTTTTTTAGAGCTTATCGTATGGTATCTATGAGGTTCCATATCCATCCGCCAAAAGGTATAGTCCATTTAAAAACCTGTGGTATCGTTCTAAATAACCCATAGTTGGCTTCTAGGGTACCTAGTATGCCACTATTTGGTATCAAAATAAAGAGGAGTTCAACTTTCATTTGAATTACGAAAATAGCGATGTAGGTCAAAATAGTTCCGAACGTGAGGATGTTTACTACGCGTTTGCCTGTCATATCAGAATTGAGGAAGTGGTAGCAAACGCGAGTTACAATAAACGGACGCTGATATCTCAAAATGTAACCTGACTTCCTATAATTTGATGTAGGTCAATCAAACCCCTATATGGACATTTGCATTTTGATATATAACACTATGGGGGGTAAGCGTTCATAGTTGGTCACGAAAGCCATATGTGCAAAGTATTGTTATGAATTTTCGAATTTGGTGTTGGATTACGGTACTCATACCTTATAGCACAATTTTTGATGGAAGTTGCATTTGGCTCCTTTAGTTATGGCCACGATTCCATCTCGCATGAGAGAGCTACCAAACGCAAAGTAAACAGTGATATATTCCAAATGAGATATTTCTCCTGTGCCATGGCGTAGTAAGGGTAGAGGTCGACGGGGGCGAAAGCATCCCCTCCTAATTGTATATATCGACCCATTTGATAGAACAAGAAAAGAGCTTTAAAATGTTTTTTAATTGAAGCTTGTAGGACAATTTTGATGGAAGTTGAAATAAAATTATGGCTCACTACAAGTTAATGCCTGTACGATTCCATACTGCAAAAGAAGCACTGTCCCCCCCTCAAAAGAAAAAAGTAGGTGTTGCCGGGATTCGAACTCGGGACCGTGTGTGTTCGAATCGTGCTCGCTAACCACTAGACTACCAGTGATGAAGTTATTTGTGAAAGTAAAAGTAGTGAATTTATTTATGAAATTGTCGGCTCTCTAGCAAAAACACGTAGCAGCCACTTGCGTACCGACAATTGTCGGTTCTCCATCTGACACTATTAGGTGACGATAGAGTGCCGACAATTGTCGGTACCCCAGCAAATACCCCTGGACAGTCTCCAGTACCGACAATTGTCGGTCCTGGAGCCACTCCGTTTTTAAAAATGTAACACTCGGACTGAGGGACAATCTGCAAGAGGTTTTTTGGTTCACTTTATTTAGAATATGTATTCACATAAGTCATTTTAAACCATATTTTCAAACTTGGATGGTGGTGACACCTATAAATATATGAGAGTAGAATCCTACCCATCATTTATTAACACATTTTTAACTGTAGATACAAATTACATGTACATGTATGGGCAATAAGCAATTAATAATACGGATTTCAGAGTTTGAAGGAGTCCTCTAATTTCTCCAATGAAATGGCGAAGTAGTTTGTGGTTTCTTTCTAGGCTACAAATCATGTTTTTACATACTCACCAGTGTTCTCCAAATGATATGTTCTCAAGTGGGTGCAAAATTATCATTTGATTTCTATAATTCAGGCCAAAATATGTCCATTTTCATGATTTTTCAAGAGGGTGCACATTAATTCTCAGGTGGGTGCAAGCCTGTTTTTAAAATCTCAGATGGTTGCTGCAACCACTTGCTTTAGTGCTTACTGCTGGAGATCACTGCTTACAGACTTAAATAATTGAAGAATCAAGCGTTCAATAGCGCCTGAGGCTGGACACGTAAGATGAAAGCTGCATCCCCCAAAGGTTATCCTGTACCTACATGTAGTTCCAATACGTTCAACCCAAAACAACTTTCATAATTCATCTGAATTTTTTTTGAGCCATCATTCTACTCGGACCACAAGAGGTGTCTGATAAGAGATAAGACCTACACTATACTTAACTTGTCGAATTATACTGTATCAGGACTATGGTTTTGTGATTTATTGTATACTTTGCCCATATACAGTATGCTGTCTTATGAGCCCAGGCTTCCAATGAGTGCACATTGCACAAACAACTTTTATGTTGGATTTGGTCTCAAGATCCCCCACTTTCCGTATAGTTTCAAATAAAGTTATTTTGTCCCCATGCCTGTGCTCTATTAAGTGTTATAAGGCTACTTTAGAACTGATCTCTGCACTCAAATACAAGTAAATATATGCTCTGTTACAGTATCAATTGCACAAGTACTTTCTTTTTTCAGCTGTCCAATATTGGGGTCCCTATAGATCAAGTAACATGGAAGCGTGTCACTATGACCTCAGAAAAATGCATCTGTATACGACACAACAAGTTGAGCCATCTTGTGTCGCCCACTCACAACAGAAATATCTCAGCATTTCTGTCTAAAGGGAAGTCATCAACACAATCAGGGCCTTGCTTGGTAAGTTTTTCATTCATTATAGGCCATTATAACTCCTAAAATCATCTGTCCTTCATTCATCCCAGTTTCCTGCATGTTAAAATAATGATTTCTAACAGTGAAATTAGTTAATTTTACAAGCGACAAAGTGGGCTTCCATTTGAATATTATGTATGCACATTGCCAAGTGCCAACAGAAAAGTACCAAAATGGTTACAGAACTCATCAAAAAAACATCAAAGAGAACATCAGTTATAAGAAAAACAAAACCCCAACTATCCCAAAACATCATCCAATGTAAAAATAAACAGTATTTAACATCCCCCTTCCAATCAAGTACCAACATTAAGGGACATTCCATCCATACTCAATGAGCTCTGCAAGATTTCTGGAGTCTGAGATGAAAAAATAGTAGTAATATAGAAAAACTTCAAGTCAAACAATTCTGTGAATGGAACACTCTTAAACAGGCTTCACTGTTCTACATACAATTATTGATTTATTAATGTAAAGTAATTTAAATTGTTTAATTTCAGGTTACAGTATTGAACCCTCATCGTTACCATGGCTTCCCAAGAGCCTGGCATGCCAACGCAGACTCTGCTCAAATGAACCCTGAAAAACACATCTTAGCAATTAAATGTAAGTATGATTAATCTTTCTCCATAACACCCCTTTCTCTTATTATCATTTTGGCGATATTTGGGCCAAAAAGTCCATAAGTGTTGTATCTATTTTTATACCTTAAAGAAACTTGAATAATTTTACATTACATTGTATGCAAAGCGTAATATGCTTGTGCAAATGTGATTTTATGTAAATATGTTAATGGAAAACAAAAATTGTAAATGTACTAACAATATACACTTGTGGTAATAAAGGATACAACAATTACATGTACATTATATTTACATATTATAAGAACTCAAAACACAAAATTTTATTTTTCCAGTATTACTTTGAATGTTTTATAATTTCATAAATATATTTTTAATATTTTAAGCTGGTCAATGCCTTCAAGTATTCAACCTAGAAACACAAAAAGAACTCTATAAGTACAGACTTCCTCCTAAAGATGGCATTGTGTACTGGACCTGGATAAACTCTGAAGTCATTGGCATAGTAACACAACTTGTTGTTTATCATTGGAGCCTAAATAAAGGTACTGTAATTTAACCACCTTTGGGGGGGGGGGGCTATAGTGGGATCAGTTTGCCAGGTGGGCATCTTAAAATTTTGTCTGTGCATTTCTTAGGTAAACATTTTGAGAGAGTTTCTTGGAATTTTCATGGAATTTTCTTGGTATGAAAATCTAGAACTGTTTTGTTGTAAAGATGTTGGAGCTGTTGGATACTCAGGACTGACTAGCTTTTCATTAACAAGATACTTTTTTAAAATCAACCAAAATCTCCTTTGTACAATTACAATATTGAGAAACTAACACACTGGTAAAAAATTTAGAAATTAACCTGCTTCTTGGTGAAAATGATGAGAATAAGAGTTTCCTCCGATGGAAGTTCATCCATGACGTAACGTTTTTATAACCAGGTGGGGACCTGTGTTAGTATAGAAATAAAAAAAGTCATTTTTTGGCATGGCAATTCTTAATGAGATCAACCTGGACTTTACATTACAGAATCTTTTAGTAAAGCCACCTCATCACATTTGCAGTCAAAACATGCAATTTTGTAGGATTTGAATTTGGCCATGCTTTATTAACTCCATGGTACTGTAGCTATTTGGGACTTTTGGTTCTTAAGTTTTGTGCGTAATGTCTTGTTGTTTGTTTCCAGCAAACCATTTGGTGGATTGATTAAAATTTTTGACCCTACAGTATCTTTATAGTATCAAAATCATCTATTGTTTTTAGGGAATTTTCAACTTTTCCATATTAGATTAATGATTACCATTAATTTAATTGCCTGTTGTTTTCATTTATTTAGTCTGTTGTAAGAAATTCTAGTGAAACCCCTGATGACAGTGATACAATAACAAACAACACTAAGTTCACCCTCGCTAAGATTTCTTCATTACTAGTAACTTAGATATTTCACTCTGATTCATCCCAAAGTAAAATTTGTAACATGCCAGTTGCTATTCATACATTTAGCCAAATTTGCCGTATGTGCAGTAAGCAAAGTTTTCATTTTTCCCAAATGTGATAAACTTTGAACTTCAATTTCAGATAAGCCTATGCCTGAGAAATTGTTTAATCGACATGCCCGTCTTGCCAAAACTGAAGTTGTTGGTTACAAAGTTGACCCGACACACCGATGGTTCGCACTAACAGGCCTCTTGGCTGAGGTAAATACATTAACCATTCATTTCTCAGTAAAATTCCTGCAAAGGTGTTTAAGGTGACACGTAGTATGTAACACTACACAATGTTTTATTACATCAAATTTACAAGATTTTATGATGTGATGTTTAGTTTCACATTGTCTCAGTCAAAAATTCTGTCCAGAGACTAATGTGTCATGTCATGAAGTGGTGACATATTTTAAAAGTGTTCAACTTTTCTATGGACTATGTTAAGTGGTTGGTGTTCAGTGGTTGGTGTTTGGCATTTAGGGGTCAGCATCTATGCCTGTAACAAATGGCAGGTAGTGACATTTTTCTTGTTAATGCCTTCTGCGACCATTGTCAATGAAATGAATACTAGCACCATATAGTCGCTATGTCAGCTCCCTGTAACTACATTCTCTTGTATGATTCTATTTGATGTATATTCCAACTGGCAGATTCAAACTACTATCTTACTTTAAAGGTGTTTTAGTCTTATTTTATTACTTTATACTTGAAGTATGTAAAAGAATGTTCATCAAATATCCCTGAATCTGTATTCTTAACTTCAAAATGTTTATATTTCATATGTTTCACATTTTGAGCATTTTTGCAATATGTGCAATGTACAAGATAGATCATGAGGACGTAGACAATACCATGTATGTCATAATTATAGTATTTGTTGAACATAGCCGTATGCTTTGTTGTCAAGGTATTAACATGTATGTCATATTTCAGGATGGCAGAATATCCGGAGTGACTCAACTTTACTCTCTTGACTATAAGATGTCTCAGTGTGTAGAGGCCCATACAGTTTGTTTCACAAGGTATTCATTTTACTGTAAATTTACTGTGCCCCTCTGAACCATTGTAGGTTCCAATGCTCAATCATCATGAAGACAAGTTCGAAGCTTGATGAAGCAAGATGCTTCTGAACTCTAACAAACTGATTTCTCCAACATAAGTGTTGATGTTATGCATCATTTTGAAGAGTTACATTAAAGTGCAAAGTATAATCAAGAATAGTATCATGCTGCTCTGGCTAAATGATCTTGAGTTCCACCTGAAAACTAATATCCAGTCAATATACATTTTAAACAACACATTTAACACCTTTACATAGGGGTTTCAAGGGGATGGAAGTGTTTTACTGATATACTTAGATTACTATTGACTATTGTATATTACTATAATCTGTCAATTTGCTTTTTTCCACAAGTATTTGACATTCCAGGTACCAGTTTGAAGGCAACCACAGCCCAACCAATGTCTTATGTCTGGCAACAAGGGTTGACAGTAACATGAATGGAAAGGTACAGTACACTTACTTTAGTCAATTTCCCCCTAAATTTGAATGAAGTCCCTGCATTTTTTACAATTTTAAGTTTTCATTTTAATAGTCTCCAGCCTTTTTGTGGATGGTGTTCATCGTCTGTAAAAATTGGTGTCTGTATAACAAATTATGACATTTGTAATCATCCGTCCATTGTAAGGCTATCAATATTTTCGTGGGCTAAAATTTTTTAAGACACATCATATATTACCCATTTGAATCATCTTAAGATTTTACATCACATATATATACATAATAGACAATTGAATTGCAAGAAATTATTCCATTCATATGTTTTGAGAAACATTTTTGAAATATTGATCTGTGCCCTAAATGTTTCAGAAACATTTTTGGATTTCATGTACCCATAGAATATACATGTACCTGTATGTATTATTTTGCAGGTACATGTTGTTGAACTAGGTCCATACATAACAGGAAATCTTGCACCTGGTTGCCATAGTGACCAGATTGTTTTCTCAGATGCTGAGGATGATGGGAGATTTGACTTTCCAATATCTCTACAGGTTTGTTTACATTTATTTTGCCTAGATGGTGTAACCATAGAAAAGCAAAATAAGTTTCAGAAGGAGAGTGGTTACGTGATGATTCTACTTCTGTAATTTAAATTGTGATATTATTGAAAAAAATCAAATTAAAAGGCAATGCAACAGTGTATGTATTTCAGTAATTAAGTGATTGTTGGTTTAACTGTACAGTAATGAATTAATACAGTACACATTTCAACAGTAAGTCCTTGTCAAATTATATGTTTTTTGAATAAACCTATAATGCAAGTAAATTTACTGTTAATAGGTCAGTACAACATATGGGTTGCTGTTTATGGTATCAAAGTACGGAACGTTTTACCTATATGACCTTGAAACTGCCTGCTGTATATTCTGGGTAAGAATATCTGATGACGTTGTCTTCTCCACGACTCCCACCAGCAATCAGGATGGAATTCTGGGAGTTAGTAGAAATGGGCAGGTCAGTGTGATTTTCTTTTTTAACACATTATGGCATTTAGCAGTCCAATGTATATTTTAAACATAACAATTAACCAAGAAATCCCACGAACAGTACCATGAATATAAATAGAACTGTTACTTAATGAATCAATTTAAGTCATTTTCAAGCACCACTTTAGAGGGAGAAATTAGATATTTGATATAACTACATTATGGCGATAAATACTTGTAAATGAATTTACCCAAAGGAAGGTTTTTACTAGTAAGCGCTCATAATCATTACTTTCAAGATTTTTAAAATCTAGATAAAGTGATGGTAAACAGGAGTACATGTAATTACCAGATTGAGGTTACCAAAAAAACAACATTTTTTAGTACATGTATATATTCTATTGTACTTTCAGATTATTCGTGTAGACCTTAAGAAACAAATGTTGGTGAGTTATGTGCGGAAGATATGCAGGAAGTCCAACATTGCTGATAGACTTGAAAGAGTTCTTCATTCACAGGCTCTCACTGAAGATAAACTATTGGACAATCGCAGAAAATTATCCGAAATTGACTCAGAAGCTAGTTTCGATAGCTTATTGGAGAATATATCTGTCGATTCTCCAGAACGAACTATTGATGGAGAGATGAAGATGAATATTCAGGGTGCATTACGTAGTGCCTCTACCATGAGTTTGGCGGAAACGCCTAATCGAAGAGTGTCAGTTTCAACAGATTTAGAAACTCAAAAAGAGGCTCCAAATGAAAATGAGGCTGCGATTAAAAATGGAGGACCTCGATCTCAACGCGGGAGTATATCTACCTCTACCAGTTCCGCACGTAGTAGCGCACGATCTTTCAGTTTGGACGACGATGACAATAATATTGTCAAATACACAATATATCCGAAGTACAGACATAAAAGTGACAAAGCATCACCTGAAAAGGATAAAGGGTATGTCATCAAAGAACACCATTCTAATCAACCAGAATCATCGCCAGATAAGAAAATCAAGGTTCTTCAAAAACGACATAAAAGTCCATCACGAACCACATGGTATGTGCCGTCATGTATGCAGATCGAAACTATTGAGGGATCATCCGGGGAACGTTACACTAATAAGGAAAAGGCTCCGGGAAAATGTACAGAAAAAGATCGATATGCTACCATAAGTAGGAGTCATAATATATCAAAGGAACGCTGTGCAATACTACGGGAACCTGAGAGTCCTTCTAGAGGACAGGATGCGGAAAAACCCAAATACTCTACTACCACTATTAATCACAAAGTGTATCAAAGAGGGCTCTCGCGACAATTTAGCTCCAGTAATCTAAGTCCTTATCGTTATAACAACAGGAGTCATAGCTTTGAACGCCAGAAACACACTACTAAGTTCCCACACCAAAGGGCCCATAGTGTTGAACCAAATCCTAGGCATAAATCAACCCCGCAAACCTATAATTATTCAACTATAGCACGAACTTCCAACATTGAAAAGGACATTGGACGACCACCAGTACCCATTCGCTCTAAAAGTGATGACGATGTTCTAGATGATACGCCACAAAGAAGACAACGAAGGTATACTAGTCCTGCTAAAAAAGAGTTCGGGTTTAAGACTATAGCTCGTATTAAGAGTGTCGATAAAGAAGTAAGAAGCAAGTCTCCCGATAAAAGTAGCACTGAGTGGTATGTTGATCCAGGTACCAACCTCATGGACTACTCTATGAAACTGGGAGAAAGATTAGCTAAACAAGATATTGAGTCATACAAAATGGTAAGTCCCCACACGGAGATTCCCATTCCTCATGAGGGAATCCCCAAATTTCAAGGGGAAGCCTCTGATGGTTTTGAGAAATCCCCAAACCCGAAAGGAATCCATCTTGATTCTAACAGAAATCCAAATGTGAATATCCAAAGAAAGGAAATCCAAGATCGAAGGTCTGATGATATACCAATCAAAAGGTTGTATAAAATTAATGACAAGTCTAGAAAATCTCAAGATACGATTGTCAATAAACCCCCGGTTCCACCAAGGAAGTCAAAGTCCCCTTTAAGAGTTCAGACAGCATTACAAAACCAGAGGGCTCACTCTGAAAGTCCTCCTAGGTTTGACAACAGAGGAGAGTCTGGGTCTAGGACCAGAGGAGTTGTTTACCCAAGAAGCAATGCACGTCACGGTATTGAACCTAACCCCAGTAAATACCGCGATCAGTTTGCGACGATCGGTCGAAGTCATAAAATTGAAGAAGAGCGCTTGCATGATGTACGCCGCTGTGAATCTCCATCGAAGCGCAAAAGTGAGGAACGTAGTCCCGAATCTCAGTTGTACAGTATCGATAATACACCACTGAAATTTAAATCTGGGCAGATAAGATCAAGCGACGCTCAAGTTAATGCTCCTACGTCTAAAAGTCAACTATCTCCCGGGAGGAAGTCTGGCCCATATTTCTATATACCAAAGGACAACCAAGATGATGTCACAGCTGACGAACATGTTGTTGAAGATGTGAAAACACATAAAAGATCCCCAAGCAATACAAGTCTGAAAGATTTAATGGACGCTACTGATTCTGCACCTTCTACCGATATCGTATGGCTTTAAAACTTTAAATATACCAAATTTTTAGATAGCATGTAACTTATTAACTTAAAATATTCCCCATCTTTAGTTATTATGCAAACTATACCCTACTTACTTAAATATCTTGTAACTTTCATACATGCCCCTGTTAAGCAAAACTTAAAACATACCCCATCTATAGAAATTATGTAGCTTTAAGATAATCTAACAACTCGAAATAGTTAAGTAAAAAAATGTAGGGTACGGGTACATGTATTCAAAAACACTGACGAACCGTTTCGGTAACCAGCGTAATCGAGCGGATCGCCAATGACAGAAGCATACTCTTACAAAGCATTACGTTATAACAACAGTGTCATTAATCAAATTGTGGTCAATTACGAAATCGGCAGAATTAATTCAACAAAAACCTAGGTTTGTATTTGCATTTATTAATATGAAGCTAGTATCAGCAGTATTATTTAGATATCGTACAGTCAAATGATTGAAATGATTCATATTAAACATAAAATGATATGTAGAATATGCAACGCAAACTCGAGTAAATATTACATATGTACGTGTATGATGTTGACAATTATCAGCATTTAAAAATTCATATTATTGACATTATATATGATTTTAGGCTTGAATACAAAAATTAGTACTTTTTGTGCCATATGCATGGTTCTTTGCTTAAGAATTTAATCTGACGTAGGTTAACAGGTTAAAGGCACATCTTAGGGTAAAGTACTTAAAGGGTCTCGGTATGAACACAGCGTCATGCATAGTTTTTTACATCAACACAACCCTTTAGCTTAAATAGATATATGTACATAAAAATGTATTCATAAAATGCAAAATGGTGACATAGTGACAAGGAAAAGTGAGTTTTTTCCCTAATCTTATACCGGGGATCAGATAGATAGATTAGCTGCTCATAAATTGACAGAGTTGTCCACACTTACTTGTATGTAATCTGTATTTTCACCATATTTCTCAACTTCAAGGCACGCTTTAAATTGAACTAAATGCATATTTAACAGGTTTTTCATCAAATGTCAACCAATTGTAATTCTCAAAACATCATGGCAAAATAACATTGTCCGAATATGCACTGGTTGATCAAAAATAATTGACATTTTGTTAAGATGAGTTAAACCTATTATAATTAAAAACGTCATTATAAAACGTATTCATTATTGTCATCATTTCCTGTTTAAACAATTATAAATCAATGATATAAACATAATAAACTGTTGCAGATTTGAACTGTTTTGACTACCATTTAGCAATGCAGTATTTACAAAAATTGTATAATTAAGAATTCAAGCATATTTATAAAACTGTCAAACTATATTATTATAACCTAACATCGATTAGGCCATAAGAAGTAGATTCTTTGATTTGAGTCCCCTTGCTTGCACGTTTTGAGTAAATCAGAAAAAAACAAACACATTCAAATAGCATTCTCAAGGGTCTGAAAGTTAGTGTTTGTTTTCCTTGTACCCTTGCATGATTTGTATTTTGCCAGGACGAAAAACAATGAATTTACTTCTTATGGCGTTTAGGCGACATTTTATAATGCAACTTATAATACAACGCTATCTCAGTACTGCTATTTAGACACTATTTTGAACCTGGAGTGTGTGCAAGCTCAGGAGGGAGTGAAGAACACGTTGTATTGCAGACGAAGTGAAAAGCTAATCCAAAGTGTATTTGTTTATTTGTATTTGGATGTATATATATTTTATATTTATTGTTTCATAGTCTATTGCCAGTTATGTGCATGTTTGATAGTGTCTTCCATTTATAGATAAATGTATTTGTTTATATACTCACGCGGTACTAACTTCGACCGTTTATTTGACTTTTTGACCTACCAGGTGTTTCAAAATCAAGGATTACGAGTCTCATACTACACCGTTTTTCTTCAAACTTGTTCCATCCAAAGCAAAACAAAATTGCCTTTCTATCGATGCATTAAGTCCCTTAATTAAGACCCTTCAAAAATTCAAATTAACAGTCGAAGTTAGTACCGTGTGATACTATAGTAGTACCACAAATAAGTCTTTGTTACTGACATTTGCATTATAATTTACACATTCTTTGATAACTTAAATCCAATTATACGTGCAAAGTTTGTAACAGAATTTTGTTTGGGGTAATATTCCTAATTATGCTGAGTATTATAGAGGGCGTCCATAAATACTCTCTTTCCACTTTACATGGACTTTGTATTGTGATTATAGACTTTATGGACATCCAGTATATTGAGAGTGGGGATGATCACTCTACTATACCTAACACCTAGAAATGCATAAGATACTTTGTTTATCTAATTGAATTGTTTAATATATTTTTGAACGTGCCTTATCAACATCTAACTTTCAACCGATAAACCATTAATAAGGAACAGACATAAAAACAAATACATAATCATTACTAATAAGCCAAATGGGTTGCTCATGAACACCAAATGCAAGGTATAGTAGAGTGATGATGATATGTGAAAATATGGTGTCCAGCATTGAACTTAAAGTGTTTTGCCTTGGTGCAATTACACTTCCATAAAATGCCAAGAAATCCTTTGCGTTCATTTGGATCATATATTCAGCATAAAACTATATACTTTGTTGTCAGAAGGCCACTGATTTAGACATTGAGGATATCTTTGTCTGAGTAATATGAGAAATTACTACAACTGAGAAATCAATTTCAGAGATTACTGTTAATACAATGAATATGATGTAAATCCAAAGTAAAGCATTATTAGGCTGATTTGTATCAACATTTATATTATACAGGGTGGGCCAAAAATGTATGTTTTACCAAACACACACTTGGAAAATCGATAATTTCCCTTCGAAGTAAAAACCCAGGGGTGTTATTTAAAAAATAATAATTTAAATGAATAGTCCATGGGTCGTTTAACAAAAGTGCCTGAATTATGAGCTGAAATGTTAAAAAGCTATTCTAGTCTTGACGAAAGAAATCTTAATCAACAATTAGGACCTGTAAGGGATGAATCAGTGAAATTATTTTGATACAACAAATTGTACTTATAATTGCTACTTATTTCGTGATGCATTTGTCTCTTTGTTTCACGAGCATTTTCAGTCTGGGTATGCCAAATTAACTGCCAAATGTTCTATGTTGTTATATCGTTCAGTATTGGTCTAATTTAGGAAGTCTCATTGTATATGTAAAGCTAATGCAACATATGCGACGTTAATTTATGTAGGACATTCTGCTCTAACATATTACAATATAATGTATTGTTATTAACTTGATATGCATAATAAAATAAAGCATTAACAAAAACAAAATTAGACTTCTTCACATATGATTACATTCTCAAAAGGCGAAAGGCTCGGAGATTGTGTATATTATTGCTCAACTACAGGATGGAACTATGTAACTGGAGTTATTCTCATCCAAAATGGCGGACAAACGTGTTCGATATCGATAAACCTTCGATTTATAATTAAGCTTCAATACTAAACAACTACAAGTAAATGCTCAAACGTCTTTGAAATCGGAAAAATTCAAAAAACGGACCCGCTTTGGATGAGATCGAGCTTCTATTCGTGAATGCAACTTACGGCTACAGGATTAACCAACTATTTTATGACCAACTCATTTAGATATGAATGGAATCGTGGCTAGGTACTATTCATATTTAAATGAGTTGGTCATAAAATAGATAAGTTAATCCAGTAGCCGACAGTCGAAAGTTGCATTCGCGAATACAAGCTTACTTAGAAGACATTCGTGAATGCAACTTACGGCTACAGGATTAACCTACTATTTTATGACCAACTCATTTAGATATGAATGGAATCGTGGCAGGTACTATTCATATTTAAATGAGTTGGTCATAAAATAGATAAGTTAATCCGGTAGCCGACAGTCGAAAGTTGCATTCGCGAATACAAGCGTTCTTAGAAGACATTCGTGAATGCAACTTACGGCTACAGAATTAACCAACTATTTTATGACCAACTCAGTTAAAGGGTGACGCATATCGTTTAGCAAATCGAACGCTCGTTTCTGGTGTTGCTCACCGTTTAGTATAAAAGGCCCGATCCCGGAATAATACTCAAGGGTTCACAGGTTCGATGTCGTTGTGTCAACACCTCTAACTGTTATATAGCATAAGTATATTATAGATCGTCACACATTTATAAAAGGGTGATTTTTATTTTGACAAATCAATTCCACATTTATGGGTGAAGTTTCAGGATCTTCTATTTGTGTATAATAAGGAGAAATTGGCATCTAAATTTCCCCATAACGTAATAGCACACAGGTTGGCATATGAAATATCCTACAAATGAAACAAAGCAGTTCTAATACAATAATTTATATTGGCTGTTGTACATGTATTCAAAATCATTATAAGCGGATTACTTTATCTCAAAGACAATTTCAATAAACTGGATTTTACAGAACTCCCCTTATTTCTTAAAAATGGACTGATCCAGTTGATTCGCCTGGAGTCGCCATATTGTTTTTATACGGGATGCTTATCGGAACCCTTTAAATGTAAATGGAATCGTGACAGGTTACACTATTCATATTTAAATGAGTTGGTCATAAAATAGATAAGTTAATCCGGTAGCCGACACTCGAAAGTTGCATTCGCGAATACAAGTTTACTTAGAAGATAAAGGATGACATGGATGAAGAAGATAACATTTCCCATAAATGAAACCATTTCAATAGAAATGGAGAACGTATACTTCCAAAACAAATCCATCGCTATTAAAAATGTAATTTAAGTTATTAAACTTCTAAACTGATTTTGGATATGTTTGACCATTCGCTGTAGATTTTTTTATAATCTAAAATATTTGTCCAATATTACCTGCATATCACATATCTAGATTTTACTTGGTCTCGCTGAAATCGAATGTTTTCGATATATCGAACTATTTTTTTTCCACGAGATAGTTGTCAACCTCACATACGGAGACAATTATGAGACTTCTAAAAATAGCTAAGCCTATGCAATTACCTTAAACATTTCGAAGAATAATAAAACGACCTGTCATCATTTATATGCACACATTTTTTAATCAGATAATTAAAAATCGAACATGACAACGTTATTCAAAACGTGTAAAGATAGGATACTAGTAAGTTATTAACAATAAGCTTTTCATGAACGCAATCCAGAAATTATTCCAATAAAGACATTGACCTACTGTCTTTATTGGAATCATTTCTTAGATATGACAGCTTAGACAGAAATCGTTATTTATCTTAATTGCGTAGTCGTTGCTATGTATACAACTGTCTACGACAAGAACTTGAAAGCAGTCATCACAATGTGAGAAAATCATTTCAAAAGAAGATCAAGAATGTTGCAGTTTTGTATCGCCTTTGAGAAGAAAATTGAGCCTGACTTCAGGATGTCATACCCAATTTGTTTCACACCGGCCTGACAACGGTAAAGTCAGATACCGTTGTCACAAATGGCGGATACAACCGATGCTTCAATTAGGTTTTCATGAACTGTATGTTTAATAGAGCACCAAATTAGCCACGATAAAATCTCATGAAATGAGAACCAAGTGATTAAAGAGTCGAAGCGACGGTTATATGTCCGCCATTTATGACAACGGTATCTGACCTTACCGTTGTCAGGCTATTCCGGTGTGCATATAAAATATTTGATATCTGCAGAGTATACTTTCACACGGTGTACATCGAAAACACTGAGGCAGATCTGAACATTTCACTTCAAACACATGAAACAGGGAATGGTAAGAAAAATAGTGATTGGAAATGGTCACCTGTCAATTTTCGAAAGTTAACAGGAAAAGTTAATAGGAATACAAAGCAATTTGAAATTGAACAGAATGGCCCGGGGTAAATGTTTCAGTGTTTTGGCGCAACATCCTGATATTCAAGCAATACTCCACATCGATTGGGATTAACTTAATAGCCTTCAGCCTCAACATGCAGTTTCTCAATCTTAGGCCAAGACGTCACAATACCAGAATACCACATAATAGATCATACTGTATTTAATAGCTATAACATGAAGCTACTCGTGGCGTCAAACTCAAAACTTCTTGCATTTTTACTAATGCTTTGCTGTATAGAGAGAAGTATAGCTCAAGATGATTCTGATGAAATGCCATGCTGGAGTGACCCATGTTTGAACGGCGGCTTGTGCGAGAACAGCGAGAGTAGGTGGTGGTGTGTGTGTCAAGATGGCTGGTCGGGACTACAATGTGAATTGGACTTAAATGGTACTGAATACGTTCAAATTTAAAATAATTCAAGTAACTGCATTAATATGTACACGTATATAAAATTCAATTGAATCAATCCCATTCGATTGAGATTTAAAACATTGAATGACTTCTACTTTTTATTTGAATTTAATTTGAATCAAAATGGGCGTTATTTTAATTAGCCTTTAAAGAAACTGACTTGCATGATTCTCTCTGCTTATCTGTTTGATATGACATTGTTATATATTCATCAAAATAGGGGAGACCGAGGCAAAACGCGGTCAGTAAGGGTAATCACGATACTGAATTTTATCTAATCAAATCACCTCTGGCAGTCGGGAAGCGATTTCTGCTATGAATTTGTGCACAGTATGGTGACATCTGCAACTAACGCCTCTAGGACGTGAGATCTGTTTAAAAAGTTGCAACGTCAGCAGGGTGCAAAAGTCAATCTAAAGTGAAAGGATTGGTATTGATATGGTGAACCGAATTCAACATTTTTTTCACTTAGGCTAAACCTTAAAAACATTCTGTAAAAACACGAACCTTTATGTAAATTTGACTGATTGACAACAATTTAATACGAAAATTATTTATATAACTGTTTTTGTTAACATTTCTTGTTTTTTACTGCAATTGTTTTTTTACAGCATTTTTTTAGACCTCTCAATATTGAAGTTATATAAAGTAAATTTTGGTTGACTTTACAAAAGGTTTTCAAAAAATTAAAACAAAAACCACCAAAATAGACGAAAATTAAAATAAACCTTTTATTTCATTAACAAGATACCTTTTTTAAAATCAACCGAAATTTCCTTTGTACTTTCCATTTCATTCCGAACATATGGTACCAAGAACAAAAGAAGTGTCCGATGTGTTTTCTAAAACAATAAAGAGAAAGGTATTATATTTATTTCAAATTATATTGTCACCATTCAAAAGATGACCATTAAATTGACGATGTGTAAAATTTTCACAATTTTTTGATGACTGGTTTAAGAGAAACGTGTGTTCAAAAAGTTATCGATACCCGTCCTTTGTGGTATTGACTGTTTAGCAATACAAAAAGAAAAAAATTGCAAGGCATTTTTTCTATGTTTGTTTTTACCGGATATACATGTATCTAGTATGGGATAATTAACTGATGGTACATCGGAATCGATTCGCTGCCCTCCAAGATGAAGTTTCAGGTACGTCCAGTAGATAAAATACATTTAAAGGCCACGTGTAAAGTTTAAATCACGTTGACTTTACATTGCCGTCTTACACAATTTTGTCTCGATGTGACATAACTTCTGTTAAAATTTCATAATGCCAATTGATTTTTTGGAATACCTTACGATAAATACGATGCATGTTCATGTTGTTGAAAAATTAAATGTTTCAGGATGCTTATTTGCATCGAGTTATTGATACAATTTACGTAAAATATTTCTCTCACAAAAGTCAAAAGTGCCAGTATCAAATAGCTGAACGTGATACATCTTCTTAATAGATATAAGACGTTTAAAAAATATGTTATATCGTATTGGAAGTAATGTTAGTGTGAACATTAATTTAAACCATTGACAAGTAGCTCAAATGTAATATTTTACATTTGAGAATATCAGAGAGGGTAAAATATCCTTGACCTTGACACTCAACTCATTTAGTTAAAAGGTGTATCCGACATGTCGGATGCTTAAATGTTGGCTAATTGCTTAGATTGATTTTGCAGAAAATTGCATGCAAAAGTAAACAGTAAGTACATTATCGAGAAGAAGATATTACAAACAAAAACAAATTATCTCCTTTCATTGATGGATTTATTTAATATACCCTACTAGTAAAACTGGTCAGTATCGTGAAACAGCAACGGCTGTTAACACTCTTTCAAAATGGCGGACGGTAAATGACGACTTCGACATACGTTCATGATGCCTACAGCAGTATTTCTCATCTGTGAATATCTTATACTGAAATTCGCCGTCAAGTCCAATGACAATAGGACGTTGTTACATTGTTGTTGCATTTTACATATAAAAATATCTAGAAACTAGGCCACACCTTTGTCACTGTTCCACAACTAGTCACTTTGACGTTTTTGTTCAACGGATTTTTCGATTTCAAACACGTATTGGAGGGTACCAGGGTTTACGGGTCCTGTACTTTTGGATGGCTATTTTGTATTGTGATGTTATTTCGTTCATGCCAGGTCCTTAATTATCTCCAATCAACATCCCCGGGCATAATATTTGTTTTTTACTGTGTTCAGTAACTTCAGCGATTACAACAACAATAACAACGTCATCGCCAGAGGTAGCAACAACAGTTGCAACGATAGCAACATCATCACCTAAAACAACACATGTAACGATAACAACACCATCAGACACAACACCAGCGACAACAAAAACTGCTACGATAACAACAACATCGCCAGAAACAGCAACAATTGCAACAAGCGGGGAGACTGTTGCTACATCGCCCACAGATACAACACAGTTATTTGCTACAACCAGTGGGGCAACAACAACTGTTGAAGTCGTATTTCCTCCTCTTAAACGAGTCGTGAAAAGTAAGTTAAAAAGTTGAAGTAAGTTAAAAGTAAGTTAGTAGAAACAAATGTTAAAAGTTACCCAAATATTGTCAAGATAGTACAATTTAATTGCTCGCAACATTTAAGCCTTTTTTCTTTCTTTCATTAATTTTTCTGATATCATAATTTCATACTTTTTGAGGAATTAGAAAATGTGCTGGCTTTTTAAACGGGGCGAAAACGCGTTTAGTATTATTGTCGAGTACCATCGAAAATACATAACGTCGAACACCTCCGTTTTAACGCGAAGGTGTAGTTTTATTTGGTCATTTGTTTACGTTTTTAGTTTTCCTTTTCTGTAAATACGCTCATACCGTTCCCAGTACACCAGTCAAACATTATGTTTTCCAAATTCACACCCAAAACTCTAGCTTTATAGTAATTGAGAGTTATCCGCTGAAATATTTGAATTTTTCAAAAAATTAACGTGTCTTTGGTTAACCCGATGTTCCAGACAAAATATATGGATTGCTGTCAATTTAAAACAATTGAATGCTTTCCCGTCGTACTTGAAACAGTATGAGCGTATTGCCAGGTATGAAAACGCTACAACACGTTCACAGACAGCGAAATAAAATGACACATACCAATTTTTCGAAACGAAAATACTATACGCGTTTCTGCCTAGGATTCGTGTTTCTAAGTAATGAAGGAAATTCTTGGAAAATATGCATGGTTTATCAGAAAGCGCTAGAAGCATAAATGAAGGTTAACACGTAAGTCGATATAAGTAGCCTGAATCGTGAACATAATAAACAACTACGTGCTGTATCTGTTTTCCTTGTCCCATATTCTAAAGGTCTAGTTGTACTATGATATTTCAACTAGCTTTAGAACGTGTCAGATCAAAGGTTGAATGACGCCATTATGTGTATCTAAATAATATTTGGTCAAACTATGATAAAGCGTGTCCCTAAAGTCTACAACGTCTCTTTAAAGGTTAGATTGACTTTATTGACTCTCTATAATTTTTGAAAGGTGTTTTATTGTAAATTTTGACAAAAAGGCCATATAATTTTACTTTGGTTCATTACTTCTATTTGTTCAATTATCATCCCTACAGCCCTTTTATAATTCACAACTGAAAAGCATTGTATTCAAAGTCAAATATTTAATTGTTTTTTTTCAACAGAAATTGAATATAAATTATATTGTATTATTGACTTTAGACATTTGAGAAAACGGGACGATTGAGTGGCACTTTAGGTTATTGTTACGAATATTCCGCTGATCATTTTCTACCGACACGGAACAATCAGTCTCAAAGTATTACAAATTCGAAGTAGTTAAACTTAGATTATAATTTAAAATATTTTATCAGTCCAACCGCTATTGCTAAGTGACAGAGTCAAAGTTACCGCTATCGTTTGGCCCCGGGTTCGTTTCCCGGTTCAGACAAGTTTGTTTGTGCGTTATGTAATTCTGAGTGGTCCACGACTCGTATAAAAGACTGTGGTGTGTACGCAGGCCCGTAGCCAGAATTTTCCAAGGGGGGTTCGTTTTTCTAAAAAATTCTAGGGGGGGGGGGGTCACTTTGGCAAATATGGCCAAAAATCACTCAATGATTTTGAAAGAAATTTTGGCCAGGGGGGGGGGGGGGGTTCGCCCGAACCCCCCGAACCCCCCTTGCTACGGGCCTGGTACGTGTATGTCTGTCTACCGGTGTAAACAAAATAACATAGGGCTCCTCCAAGGAGGAGTTGGCTCTGTCTTCGAGTGTAAAAATACGTAAAATACGGATCGGAATATACCAATGAGACATTTATTGCTCGCCAAATATGGCGGTAACCAAGATACAAAACAGTAAAATCGCGTATATTGACACAAAGTATGATTACGTATCTTGTATTCGAACATGACGGTATTCGCGCCTTCTTTAAACTGTGAACAAAGCTGCTCTTTGGTCTGTATTTCTTAAATATAAAATAACTCGTAATAATGAGTATAGCCACCTTTTTCTCACAGTATATAATTTGGGTCCTTTCGTTTTGAATTTTGTATTGTAATGTATTTTAGTTACTGGCTTATTTTGGCAAACGTTACATTGGTATATTTTACGCATGATACATTCGAATGCAGAGCCAAAAATCAGCCTCGGGGGAGTTCTATGTTATTTTATTTGAAAAGGTACTCAGTATATACAAGTACACATCACAGGTTTGTTTGAAGCACTCATTCAAAATCCAGAATTACATAACGATAACGCCCAAACAAAAGTCTGTAACCGGGAATCAAACATGGGGCCAAGCGATAGTGGAAACCAATATAATAGTTTCTAAATAGCTGAAAAATAAATGAAAACCAGTGCTGCCATCTTTAATCCAGATTTTTTCTCGGGCCAGACTTCCATTGACTTCCATATTAAGATCTTCAAAAAATGACTTTATTTCATTATTTATCAAAAAGTGTTGGTTGAATCTGTTTAAAACTTTATTAATATATAATCATGTGATGACCCTTTTAACATACTAATTGTGATTTATCATCACAATTTGGGTTGTTAAACTAATAAACCAAGGTATTTCGAGAATTTAAACATTGCATCAATGGAGATTTGGCCCAAGTATTTTTTAAAAAGTCATGGAAAATGATTTAAATAACATAACTGTATAAATCAATGTTATTCTTGTAGAAAACAGTTCGATGAATTTAAATGTGCCAATATTTAAAAGAAGGCAAAGTAAGTCATTAGAGGTCTAATATGCAAATCTCTTAAAACGAGATTAAGTGAGATTTCAAAAGCTATATGGAAACTCATTACTATTGGCTCTGCCAATGAGCGAAAGTGGGTGGATATATAGCGATTCATGAGCTCTATTTTCGTTTTGACATAAATGTGAAAATCTGAATGAACATCAAATTAGTTGAACTACTTTTCCATTTGTAGGTGAACTTGAGGCTGAACAAGAAACTTTTACAGATTCAGACAAACGGGTTTCGGCTACAACGCTTGGTATCACATCAGTCGGAATGATGTTCATCGTTTTAGGATGTATCGTCTTATTCGACCTCCTAACCGCCTGGCATCACATGAAACGTCTAAACTGCATCGGCAACTTACGCAACTTCAGAAAAATTACACTGAAGCAAATGTGTATCGAATGTTGGTGTGCAAAGAACAAAATTTTTCGACAAAAGCGCAAACGATTCCGTATGACGTATATAATTTATAAGTACAGAAAGTACAACCAGATTTATCGAGGACCGGAAATGACAATCGGAAGTATGTTCATGTTGGCCTTTGGTGTTGTGATTGGGAAACTAAAGAGCTTTTTCTGCAATAGGCGAAAAGTGGACAACGGCTCAAAAAGTACTTTGATGAACAACAACAATGACAAACTAAGTGATCAGATTATCGATGACAAGACTGGAGAGGACAATACCGATACCAATGAGGTAATGCCTCATCTTGAATACGAAAGTACAGAAAATATGTCGTTTTATTCTGGTATAAGAGGCATTGGAGAAGACTCTGTTATAATCGAAGAAAAGGACGAAAGTGTTAAATGCCCGACTCGTGAAGCTGAGGAATTTGAAAGCGTTTCGGCCATGACACTTGGTCACATGGCCAACCAACAATCGGTTCAGAATCAAAGTGAAATAACTGTAGAGTGTATAGAAAGCCTTAATGGTCAGAATAATATGTTTAATCCATTTAATCATGTGGAAAATGAAGAGGGCTCCGATGGTGATAGTGAAGCTCCTGATACTGTTAACAATATGTAACAAGATATGCTTAACCACGATAAACGGGATAGGCACTGTTGGACAGGGAAACGAAGGCGTTTACTTCAGGGCGCCTGTGCAGTGAAACTATCCACCATTGAAAATCAATTAGAATTAGGATATTGATGGCGACCAATGCAACAGTTAACCAAACAGTTTTTTTAAAATATGAAACGCAATCATTCACATCAGGGAGTATTCGATTCCCGGTAAAGACCTCAACGGCTGATAGTGACAGGTAGCTCACCAGATAACGCTACGATTAAGGTTAATGCAAACTGCAGTTCACTGTCGTTTGTTTACAGCGACGCCGAGGAGTTCATCGCCATAACTAATCTAACTCCCGTCACCGCCGTCACTCCCGTTTCAAACTAAGTTCATGACATTACATAATATGTACAATTGTCTTCTTTGAATTATGTGTCATCGTGAAGTCCGTAGTAAAAATCGACAGTTAAGAAAAATACCCATAAACGGTATACCGTATCTAGAAATGTTAGCCGATTACATTATCCCAAGATAAAACACCGGAACCAGGTATTTTGGACCCCATAGGCAATTTATATGAAGAACCCTGTTTAATCAATACCGTGTGTACCAATACAAACATAAATGTGAATCAACTAAAAACATTTCGTAGATCAATACTGGCGGGCGTAATCAAAACACGAAACTCTAGAAAACTTCAGTAAGTGAAAACCCCAAAAGGAGAATTCATGAATATCAATGTCCTTGAATTGTTTAAAGAAATATTCTGCGATCAACCCCGTTGGAAAAATATGGATGGATTTAAAGTTAACACGACTTTCACAATGGCAAGCAGTTTTCATAATTTTAAAATATGACTGCAAAGATGAAAAAATGTGATTGTCATGAAGATTTTAATCCACCTTGAGTATCAACTAGGTTAAATAAAATCATGTTTAAACGAAGAAGAGAGAACATTTTTTATACATATATACAATATTTATACAGTCAATATGGTACAACGAAAATGGGACTTCTGCGCATGTTAAAATTTTTCGTCAAAACTCAACTTTTGTTCAAGTTGATACGATTGTCTTTCGAACTAGAGACTTACCTCATTCGAAAGATCATAAAAGACTTTATCTATACTGAAAATCTTAGATCCAAACATAGTAGAATACGCCGTCAGTCCGCATTTGATTTTTTGAAGTGAGTTTCGTAGATCGTCAGATTTCTCCGACTGATATCGGGTTATCTCAAATTGGTTCGTTTATAAATACTAATTTCTTTACCGTTGTAAGGCGCATGCGCAATATTGATTTATAAACCTTATTGGTTGATGGTTTTTCTCCTGCGCATGCGTGAAGTCTGATGAACACTTATGACGAAGACCGGAGCAAACATTACTAGCTCTCGAACGAAATTCCAAGATTCAGGTCATTTCGCCGTGTTTGCTAAGCGTGTATACGTGAATGACAAGCTGTTTTGAGTAGATCGGGTACCTGTTTTAGATACAACATTGATTTAGCTTGACATTGATGTGCACATTGGCACTTTTGAGCATGTTAATACAAGTTTTTACACTCTTAGCATGAGACGGGTTTTCGAAAAATCTATTATCTGATTCACTCGATTATCGTATGGATATGTATTTCTGCTGACATTTCAACACCACATCACATAGAATTACGATGCAGAATGATCTGCAGATGATACACAAAACAACTACTAAATTCCACTTGTTATTTGACAGGAGGTAAAAATGCAAACTGCCTAGATTCTTTGTAAGGGTCGTCAGACATCGGATTGGCCGCCATATTTGAAATGAAAATATCACTAAATAGAGGTCTGCGCATGCCTCAACATTTCGACTGTATATATCGGGTGTCCAAGAAAAAGCCAACCGCTTTTTAAAAGTATTTTTACAAAATTAAATGATCGAATTACTCCTTTTTCATTCGGGTACACCCGATTTAAAAAAAATCTCACGTACCATTTAATGTCAATATGTGCATGTACCTGAGCAATGACACAAAATAAAGATGGTCTAACAGCAATATATAATGCAATAAAAAATATCAAGCCGTTTTATCGGTTCCTAACCGGACACTACATAATTTCGGAAATGATATTTGCGCACCTCTTTTTGTTCATAAAACACAACGTGCAAACTGCCAATGTGAACGTGTGTTCAGGGAGTCACGCGTGTATACCTAAAGCAAGTGCAAATCTTTAAAGCTTGAATATTCCTCGCGTATCATGGATTTGATAGAGGATTTATTACATATTGGTCGTGGGTGTAGAATCGAGTATTTGGTGCCCTTTTTGGACACATATAGAACGGCCAACAGTTACACCCATGCATCAGTAAAATTCAATTTGCGTGAATATTGTTAGGGCACAACTCTGGCGGCACTTGCTATGCCTACGCTCTAAACTCCATTGATTATTTGACTGTTTATCACAACCTTTACTGTTTCAAGTGTAGTCAAAAGTTCGTTCACCCAACTATGTCAACTTGTCCAATTCGCAAATACTTGTAGGCAGAACAATATATAAAGAACTGTCGCTGATCAGCAAAATACAAGAATAGCTGAAGTGGAGCTTTCATGTTCCGGTGACTCGTTTCAATGCCGATTGAAATGGTGTCTCGGTAATTTGACAAGAGTTGGAGATTAATGTGTCGTCACAGTGTCTGAGAAAACGATCACTTCAACGGTAACCTCAGGCATTCAACAGCAGCAGCAACTAGAGTACGGAAGAGTAAAACGGCGGCAGGGATGGTCGATATTTCACCGTTTTTGATTTGGTTTTTGATCCCCACGTTCACTATGCACGCAATCATCTTATGTGTTTGTATCTAAGATGGTACGCAAAAGAGAGGCAGTTTAATAGAATCCTTATCTCTTGCTATCCTTTCTCAATGGGCAGGTGTCATCAAGCTAAGGGGCCATTTCAACTCCGACAGATATATCATGATATCGCAAAGTACCCAACACAAGTTTTGTTTCATACTTCACCCCATGCAGACAGATCGACTAAAATTACATTCGTATGATATGAGACTCGACATTCACCAGGAAACTTGAAATAATTTGTCACACATGGAGCAAATTGATTAACATTGGTCACGTGTATGTCATACAATTAATAGAGAGGTTAAGCTACACGTATAAATGCAAACCGTGAACCTGAACGCGTAAGTCCACGCTCAAGTACACGTTTAAGTAAATTTTCTGTCAAGCTACACGTCTGAAACCAAGTCAGTGGACGTGGTGCTAAATTTATATGGTGTAATGGATAGCACTTCGGACTCGTGTCCGTTAGGCCTGGGTTCGAATCTGGTCGCATCAAAACATTATGTTTTTTTATTTTTGAAACATAACAGTATAATCTTTGGATTTGCAAAGTTGTATGGGATTTCACAAGTGTAAAAGTTGCTTTTGAAGCATTTTTCCATAGCCATTTTGTAGGAAAAAATGATGAAAAAATGTTTAATCTTTCAATTTGAAGTATGACCTGAATCGATTGCAAACTTTATATTTGCACATCTGATATGATATACCATTTGTGTAATATTAATTGTGAAATTATTTAATTTGCAATCAATTCAGGTCATTCAGTCATTCAGATTCAGGCAAATCAAATGTAGTGATAAGGCAATCGTAGGCCCTGGTTGTCATTTCATTTCATTTAGTATACCTAGTGCACCAAGCCCCGGGTATCAAATTGGCCCTGCCTATTTATATTGTACGGAATGAACAAACGATCACATTTGAGATTGTCATTTACTCATTAAAATGTATTCTTATTTCCAATTAAGGATTGGGGTCTACCAATATAACAAGCAAGATTGTTTGTATCAAATATGGGCTCCCGGGCCATCCTAGAACATAGCTAAAACCAATCACGTAATGAGCGACGTGTAATCACTCATCTACACGTAAAAACCTGTAACTTTCACGCTTACCTGTAGAAAGTAGACTAATCTGAGGTCATTTTCCTGCGCGCGCATAGAAGTACACGTTCATGCTTTGTTGAATACGCGTCTGTAAATTGCACGAATATGATAATCTCATGTAGAGACTTGTAAACTTCACGCTGGCCCACAGGAAATAAACAAATCTGACTACATTTATTTGCGCGCGCATTGAAGTTCACGTTCAAGTTTTGTTAAATACGTGTAGCTTAACCTCTCTAATATTTGAAACACAACTGCTATTCGAACTTATGATCGGACATTTAGTATTACTTTATTATCTTGAAGTGCACATCATACTTATGTCCGATCATAAGTTCGAATAATAGTCGTGTTTCAAATATATATTGTATGACATACACGAGACCTATGTTAATGCTACCAGGGGGAATCGGACCTGCAGACCTTACTATTTATACAAGTTTTTTTCTGTTTTGAAAAAATCGATATGTGAAGTATATTTCTTAGTTTTTCAAAGAATTCTACAAATATTTCATTGCAGTTTTATCTAAACATCGTAATTTCAATCACCGCCATCACTATTCAAACGAATTACCTTGAAATATCAAGACGGTGAAATTTCCCGGTGAAATGTCGAGTTTCGCATATACAATGCTATATTAGGCGATCTGTCTGCATGAATTGTACTTTAAATACACGGTAAAAATTGTCAATGTGGATTTGGATTGTGAAATGTTGTTTACTTTAATTTTGCACAACTTGTGACACTCGAACAAGATGTTTTTATTTTGGGCAATTTCATATTGACGCTTGATCGCTGCGCTCCCTTGATTAATGTCATAGTACCCTTCTGTCAATATCATATTTTCCCTCGGTCACTGCGTTCTTTCGGGAAATACTGATATCATCCTTGTGATATTCCTCATAATCATCCCGACGGGTGAATAACGACCTTATACCATTTTTTTAAATTAAAAGAATGAAAAAATGCTGTTAATTTAAATGAATTTCTGAGGAAAATGTGAAATTTTTTAATTTACCCGGGATGATATCAATATCATCCCTGATATCATCCCTCTAATCTCGATCACGATGTCATTCCTGATGGAAGGGATTAAATATAAAGTTTATTGCAATGGACAATATGCTATTTCTAGAGTATTTCAGGGACATAAAATATTTCTCAAACAAAACCTTAACTCAATCAAGACCAGTGAATACGCTATTTATCCTCTGCAGTTTATAAATGTATTGATGAGATCTGCATCATCATCATGCCCTTTTGACACTCGATCGCTGCGCTCCCCTCGTCATATTAGTCACCCTTTGATCGATGTCATGTTGTCCCTCGGAATAGAACTCATATTCAATCCCTCTCAGTAAATAACCTATAGTAATACCAATGATATCGGGTTGGTAGCAATATCATCCCGCTAATCATGCATTTTTTGTTTATTTGTTTAATAAAGATGTCACTCTTAACTCTAGAATTATATTTTAAGCCAAAGAATTTCAATTCTGTGATTCATTGATGATTGATCAGATATCATTAAATATATACTAGGCAATAGGCATACAGTTGGACTAATTTAGTATTGACCATCGCAGCCAACAAATATACGGTGAATGCATCGTACTGCCCAGTCTGTTTATTTTGTGATGAGAAAAGTAGTTCCATTAGGTAAGAGGGGGAAAGACCCAGAGCTTTAGCGATGACTGACATAATACGTCTCTTGCGTACTACCTTCGTTTGCGCAAATTCTCACCAGTTAATTTTCGAACATAGTGCTTCGTCGTGATGTTTAATCGATATAAACATATATTCCTTAAATGTTTCTTTATCTTGATGTGAAAAAAACAAGCTATGATATTGGTTAATACGCCAGGATGCGGAAATCAACATAATATTATTCGAAGCGTTATTAGAAAAATTTTAATCCTCCATTTTTGTTTATCGATTTGGACCAATCAGAGGTGTACGTCATCTAAATACAGGTTTACATTATAAGCGTATGTCATCTTTGAACTCTGGGGTTAATCCCCCCCCCCACTTACTATGAAGTACTGCATTTTGGATGGTCTACAACCGCACCATCTTTAGATAGAGAATGCACTATTTTGCAGACATAGGTGGGTGTAATAGGAAGGAGTAGTTTGGTCAATTTTTACAAATTCACATCTATATAACAGAATGAATTTTGATTTTTATCGGATGTTTTTTTAAATTTTTGTTTTGCTATATTTCACTGCTTTGAAAATCGGTTGCATGAATAAGAGAAAATAATTCTTATATTCATGCATTCTATATATCAATAGATTGATCTTCAACTAGAAATATAGGGCAGACATATGTGATGAGTATCTGAATGAGATACCCCATACTATTTGAATAATTAAGATTTTGACCAACTGAACCCACTGACCTATTTAAAGGCCCCATACGAGGTTTTAACAACTTTAGCTTACATTATTATCCAATGTTATCAAAATGTGTAATTTGAATCAATTACTTGATATTCATGACAATATGAATTAATCAACGAATTAATCAACCTTCTTTTTCTTGCTGTTTTATACATCCCCTTTTATATGATGACTCTGAGTCTCTCTATGATTAAAAACATTGTCGTAAATGGGACATTTACATTATGGTATTCCATTCTCAAACAGAGATGTCATATTGCTATATAGAGAAGATATTGTCTATCAGAATGCTATCTCCATCAACATATTGTTTAGAATAAACAAATATACCCCCAGGTTTTAATCAATATGAGATCAAACAAACAACAAACAATTTTAAAGTGGAATTATATGTCGTATGGGTCCAGGGAATTAATGAACAAACTTTTAACTACAGTGATAATACGAACGGTGATAAAAAATCGACACAAATTTTAAATGGGAATTCGAAACATTAACTGATGATGAGGTTATTTTACTTTCATAGGATATTATTTCCACAGTACGTGTTAATTTGGAAAAACATCTAAAAATATTTTTGTAAAAGTTTGCTGTGGTAATGGCCTCGCTTGTCTCATAGCACTACGCCTACGGCTATATTATATTATATTTTGTAAACAGAACTGCCTTACGCTAAAGTGCCTACCAGAGCAGGGATGCCGTGATATATTCAAAGTGTACTTGCTGTGGAAATTGACGTGATACTTGTACGTGCCGTTAGGATTGGATTGCATGTCGACGTTTGACAAAACTATGGGCCTACACGCGGCGCATCATTTTGCAATTCTTTTACTATTGACCATGGTTCTTACTGTCGTTACAAGTCCTGCAACAGATAAGGGCAATCCGTGCGATAGTAATCCATGTGTGGAAAATGCTTCCTGCAGAAGAACCAAGGGCAAAAACGAAAATTACACGTATGAGTGCGAGTGCGAAAATGGATGGGTTGTCCCAGGACTGCAATGTGCATCACGAGGTACTGGATACCTTTCTTAAAATAGATAGAGGATATCCTATGATTTTAAAGGGATACCATTTTTATTCATGAGTGAATATCGCCCACGAGTAAGCGCAGCGAATGAGTGGAGATCGGCGATATCCAATAGTGGAAAAAATGATAGCCTGAGAAAATCAAAGGATATCATATTTATCCTATGGTCGCTATTTTTGTACAGGCTTAAAATAATTTGCCCTAAAGTTTTTGTTTGTCTTCTATTTTTTTCATTTTATTTTCTGTGATCTTATTTTTACAAAATGATTACATGAACTTAATTGTAATTATTACATGATCTTGGAACTAAATTGTTGCAGATCAAACAGACAAGTGGTTATTTGGCGCCAAATTCAAAACTAATGAGTCGGATACGATTTTAGTGGCGCATACCAAAATTATTTTGTGTCGTTATCCCCATATATATTAAGTATCCATCGGATAAAGGTAGTCATCAACACGAATGCCTCAAAATAACATTGCGATATTAAAGTGGATATCATTTGATCTTATATTCCTTATGACGTAATTAGTATCAAGTTTTGTAATCAAACAATTTAGTGCGTGTGAGATTTTGTTTTTTACTCCAGTACCAGTGTCATCAAAATGCCATTGTTATATAATAAACAAAACTAGTTAAAACATTTCAATTAATTAAAAACAGCATCAATTGAGCAAACACAAAACATGTCGTTTTGTAAAGGAGCTAATTAACATATCTACAGTCCAACTTTCCTAAAATATGATTATGTTTGAGGTAAATCATCATCGCTGACATCATTAATCATTGGTGACAACCTATTTTTTGATTTCGAAGTATTCATTATCAATACAAATTAAGGAGTTATAGACCTTTTAAGCATCTGGGTTTGTAGATAAAAAACTTATTCAAAGACACTAGGTTCGAATTAGCCAGAAAAACTTGAAATAAATTAGGATAACCTGGATAAATTTGGTTATTATACCTTCCATACAATCACAATATCTCCATTTGTTTTTCTTTGTTAAAGAGTCAACTTTAATGACAGAGACAACAGTACCACTAGAGCTTACAACAGCAACAACGGTTGCCATAACAACACCGCCAGACGCTACAAGTGCAGAAACAACAACTAGCAATGTAATAACAAAAGCTACTACTGCTACCTCTGATATAACAACAGCGGTGACTGATGTTGATACTAGTGCCACCGATACAACGACAACAGTAACTGATGCTACTACTAGCGATGCAACGACAGCAGTTGCAGTGACTACTACAGAAATCGGCACATCGTCAACAAATTCAACACCAGTATTTGGCACCACCAGTGGGGCAGTAACAGCACCGGGCACGGGCGTAACAGTTGTGATCTTTCCCCCTCTAAAACAAGTTAAGAAAAGTAAGTGTATATAGTGGAAGACTGATCTGGTACATTTTCCCCTGAGGGTACACTTTAAAGTCATATTAGAGTAGGACACTATCGGTAGCGATATATAAAGAATACCGGGCCATTATATAGTTCACATATACATGTAAAACCCATTAACCGATTACAATCTACACCATAATGAATATTTGCAAAAAGTCATATGTTAAGTGTAAAAAGATCTTGGCATTTCGCGTAATATTTTCAAAAGATGACTTTCATGATTTCAGAAAATATATATAAATATTTTCATATCTCCGCCATGCAATTGTTATATAAAGCTGGTTTCTAAAGCGTCCACATATCACAGTAGCAACACATATCACATTAGCTGCACTTAAAGTCTTGCAGCTTCATTAGAGGAACGGCTGTACTTGGACTAGTAACATGAGAGTCTTACACTTTTATAATTCTGATATGTACTTGTCGACATTGTTCCGTCTGGCCTGATATAGAAAACCAATTATGTTGACATAAGGGAACTCTAGCCAGATTGGGGTGTTGTAGAAAGTAGAATCATCGATTTCTTGAAACCATGATACTTATTTGAAGAAGTTGAAGATCCAAGGAGATTATGCGATCCGGATTTGTTTACTTGCAATTGAGATCGTTGGTACCCACATTCTTGTCCTTAAGCAAGTAATTTTCTTTGTATATCTACATAATATGAGATGTTCAAATCCCAATACCAACATCTCGTTCTACTATTAAATCAATGCCGTAAACAGCTCCCGGGACTCGAGGAAGATTGGGTCCCAAGGTTCCATCTCGAGATTCTGGCATATAAGGATATGTCGTAATTACAAATTCCGAATTCTGAGCAGCCGACATTTTGTCCACTTCAGAATTTGAATCGCGAGTTTTGGTCTTATTTCAAAACAAAAATTTCCAAAACACACAAGAACTGATCGAGATTGGTTCGTATCTTTTATAATACTGTTTATGATTTCATCACCAGTAATAATTCAAGAAAATAAGCGACATTGAAAACGTCGAAATGTAGTTATTCTCTGAAATTATAGCCGACTATAAATTCAAAATTAACAGTCTCAAAGATTGAGACCAATATCTCGATCAGTTCTTGTGTATTTTTGGAAATTTTCTTTTGAAGATAACACCAAAATTCACTATTCAAATGTTGAAATGAACAAAATGGCGGCTGTTTGAATTTTTTGAATCCCGACATGTCCATATATGGCAAAAATATCGATGTTGCACTCTGGGACCCGATCCTCTTGGTAGTTATTGGAGAATATCGAGTTGCGTCCCTGAATGACAATCCTTGCGGGGATTGACAGATATTTGAAACCATGATTGCAATGACCGAGCTTCAAGAGTCCTTGAACAAACATGTTCACGCATGCGCGTACATGTAGTTCTTGCAAATAAAATATCTTTAATTTATACTCTGAAGTAAAACGAAAACGCCCTACGCTATGCATATATATACTATTCCCCTGTAGTTTGGGAACCCTGATCCTGAATACCTATTGTGTTCCCTGAGTGTGAGTCCCTAGTTGATACCCTGACTGTGAGTCCCTATTGGGAACCATAAATGAATTACTATTAGGTACCCCGACTGTGAATCCCTCTTCGGAACCCTGACCGTGAGTCCTATTGGGTACCCCGACTGTGAGTTCCCATTTGTACCACATTCATCTGTTTTTGTTTTAAAAATTGGAATTAATAAGCTATTTTGAGCCGACACGAGCATGATTGAATTGCTACATATCTGGTACACTATTCAAGTATTTGACGCTTCGTATTGCTTCAACTCTGTTTTGATTGTAAGGGGTGCGTTTATGTTTCTCAAAACCCACTCTATATGCTATTTATTGCAATGTGTTTGATGTCTTTATTTCAGGCGAACTTGAAGCGGAGGACGGGTTTTCCGAATCCGATCAAAGAGCATCGGCTATAACGTTTGGCATCACATCTGTTTGCATCATGTGCCTCGTTATAGGAGTAATCATATTGTTCGACATCATTACGGCATGGCATCATATGAAACGCCTCAACTGCATCGGTAACATTCGCAACTTCAGAAACATCACACTCAAAGAAATGTGTATCGAATGCTGGTGTTCCAAAAGTAAAATTTTCCGAAAAAAACGGAAGAGATTCCGTATGACGTATGTGGTCTACAAGTATAGGCAATATCAAAAGAAGAACGGTGGACCAAATGTGACAATCGGGAGCTTGTTTTTGATGATGTTTGGTATCGTGATCGCTAAGATAAAGACATTTTGCTGCAGGACACGGAATTTAGACACTGGTTCAAAAGTTACTTTGATAAAGCCCAACACTGATTCATTTGATCATATCGCCAATGACCAGACGGGAGAGAAAAAGAATAGCGATCAAGAAATCCCGCAACCTGAGTACGAAAGTGTTGAACATATGAATGAGTTACATTCTGATGCGAAAGGCTCTGAAGATACACTCGAAGGGGAGCAGTACCATCAATCAGATGTAGAGGAAATCGAAAGTGTTATAGTCATGGGGTTTAATGGCGCTGATACCGATAAACAACGATCGGTTCAAAATGAAATAGGTGCTGAGTATGTCAAAGGCCTAGATGCTCTTAAAGAATCTTATGAAAATGTATCCAGCGTGTGCACTGAATTGAATGATCAAGATTCAGACAATTATGATCTTGATGAACCTCCAACTACTGTTGAAAATATGACAAAAGATGAACTTATATGCGATGATGGGATTGACATAAGAGAACATGAAGACAGTGACTTTGAATCGATAGATTACTTTAATTTACCCCGAAGTAAGTCATATGAATCGAAAACTATTGTTGATGATGAATTCAAAGTCACTGACAAAACGGAAACCGATTCAAGTGTTACTTCTAAATTTTCATATGATGGATCCGATGAAGATGAAGAATTGAGCATCTTGGATGACACAGTACACAGTATCAGCCATACGGACACAAGTGAAAACCTAATAAAGGTTCTCGAGAACGACAATTTCAACACTGATACGTCCTCTAATGATACAAAGTGTCCTGAAAGTAAGAATACAGCTGAATGTAATACAAATGAACAGCATCCAACAAACCCTAGAAAACGTTTATCCCCTGACAGTGGCGTGCCACCTGATAGTCGCATGTCAACAGACAGTGGGGTGACTCCCGAGTGTATTGTCTCACATGACTGTGACGCACCTCTTAGAAAAGCTGAGGCACGATCGTTTTTTTCTTGGTCTTTTTCAAAAGCGGACTGTTCTCCGAAACCAACAAAACAGTTTTTATTCCCAGATTCATCTCAAGATTGGAGAATGCTGGGTTCAAGTTTACCAAGCAGGCATTTGTCGCCATCCAAAAACATGAACCACAATGGTGTTTTGGAGAATCCCTCTAATGATATTTCAAATGACGCCATTACTAAACCAGGCGCCCCTAAAGTTGTTTGCTGGCATGAGGGGTATAATGCAAAGGTTAAACCACATAAGGACTGGATGAAGGTAATAAGAAACGACTTGAAAGCTAAATCTCGTGATCGTTCGTTTGTAATGTCATCGTCGTTACAAGAAAAGCGCCAATCTCTGCCATCTATTTCCATCGGGGACAACATTTATAATGATAACTGATGCATTTGAGACATTTTAACAGAAATAAGAGAACCACACAATCATTTGCAATTGCAAAATAATACATGTATATATGACGGTACTATATTGATGATGGTCTATGAACAGGATCTTAAGAGGTTCTGGACAAATCATTTGATTCTGGACTTCTCATATATTTTTTTCAACGAAATCACATCCAAGGGTTGAATTTTTATTAGCTATTTAGAGAGTGAGTCCTGCCTAGTATTAATTTCAATAAAAAAGTTAAAATAGAACCCTATTTGAGAGTCAATCTAATACTTACATTACATTGATAAATTAAGGCAAATCCTGAAATATTTTTAAAGTGCATTTTTTATGAAATATTATCCAGCAAGTATTTAAATGAAACGGTCTTATTTAAATACAAATCATAACATGATGATATTTTTCATAAAACATTTTTCAATGAAATTCAATTGAAGGGTCAAGATAAAACGAGCTAATTTAGGTGAAAACCCTTACATGATGATGTGTTTTCATAACTTCTTTCATAAAATTCCATCGAGGGGTGAAGATAAAATGATCGAATTTAAGTGATTTAAGGATCACGAGAATATGTTTTCTTTGATATTTTCTATGAAATCCCATCCAATGGTCAAGGTAAAATTTTGATTTTGATTTTGATTTGGTCACGTGTTCGAAAGATCCATATAAGGCCCATAGAACCATATAGGAACGTCATTTTGAATGTCATGTGATAGATCCATATAAGGCTTTTAGAACCATTTATGGAAAGATGAGGGGAAGCCCCTGACACCTGTTTCACGATTTTTATGCACTTCATTATTGTACCGAAGTTTGCCGATTCGATTCGTCGTATTTCGGAATCCTGGTGACAATTTTATACTCCATTGGAGTATTTTTGACCTACTTCTTATGACGGAAATTCCCGAACCTTGTTCGGATTAATCCGGATTTTCTGACCTACTTTATCTACCGAGATTTCACGAGTTAACATTCGTCTCATTCCGGAATCCTGGTGACAATTTTATACTCCATTGGAGTATTTTTGATCTACTTTTTCTGGATTTTGCCCTACTTATTATATCTTGACAACAAGCAAATCAAAAAGTTCGACATGAACGGGTCTCGATCAACTAACCTAGACAATGGAAGCCAGGCACGCTAACCATGAGGCCAACGAGCTATGGATATGAAAGACAAAAGTATTATATATTTATACCGAGCGCCAATTTAAAATGATCCTCACTTTTGTCTCCACTTAAATACGACTCGTCAGTTGTATCCAGAATAGTAGAACGCCTATGGCGCTAGTGAATAACCAAGTCCCAGGTGAGTGGTTCGTATCCCTCCGTGATATACTATTTTTGTTTTATTAAATACGACAGAAAGGAGCAAGGTGTAGGTTGAAAACAAGACGTTAGTTTGTTTCAAAACAGTTTGGAAACATTAATCTCTGGAACATTATTTTTTCAACACTGATACAAATTTCCCTGACATTTCCCTGACATGTCTACCGTTTCAAAATTCCCGGTCATCTTTGGCCCTTTTGACCTAATTTTAAAATTACCTGAAATTTCCAGCACTTGGAAAATCAAGTCAATTTCCCTGACATTTCCAGGTGTGTACGAACACTGGAAATATCCCACTGGCTCGCCCTATGAATCGCTAGCACAGATTGGATTGATTAGTGTTTCAAAATGGTGGACGAAGTGTTTGATTAGATAATTTACATATTAAGCTTCTTAAAGGGGCAACAAGGCCTGTACATAGAAAATTCGAAATTTTTTACATTTTCTGAATTTTTAGGGCAACATTTGGCTTTAACATCTTTTTTTATACATTTTTTCTTAAAATGTATGGATAAACAATAAAATTTCAGCATTAAGCAGTGCAAATTCAGTTCAAAGCTTCTATAAAGGGAGTCTAACTTATAGATTTTGAAAATCCGACTCGTTTAAAGAAGAATATCAGCAGCTTAAATCACGCCTTGTGATCATACAAAATGGATGGAGGGGGGGGGGGTAGGCGATTTCTGCAAGAAAATTCAACAAATTTGGAAGATTTATTTTTTTCAAGATAAAATTTACAACTGAATTGCCAAATGAATAGGCGCAGTGCATGGCAAAATATGTAAGGTCTTCTAGTATTTTTTGAACTGATACGCTTCTAAGATATGAGATCTATTATAAAAGGCGCATCATCATCATCATCATCAACGTGCAAAAGTCAATGTTTTTGCTATAAATCAGACAACAATGGTCTACACGACCTGTAATAAATAGGTATGAGGGGCGTTATTAGAGAATTTTCCTTATAAGTTTTTTAAAAACATATACGTATACTTATACTTATAAACCCAATAAACAAGGTGTTTCATAATTTCCTAATTCGTCGGGCAATATCTCCTAGGACGGTAATAAAAAGGGCCAATGGCATACCATCCGTACCCCCTTGATGTAAAGCATGTTTAGTTGTGTCATATGTGTTTTCTAGAATCAAATAGGCTGATATAGCACACGGGTTTTACAGATTTATCTACTCTCAAATATATTTTTTGTAGATGATCGTTTTGAATCACCTTGTAGAAATAACGAAGGGAGAATTAGTTCAGCTAATGAATGAGTCGAGCTATTTGATTGGATACTATGCCTATTCAGCCGATTAATTTTAATAAGCCATTCTGATCAGTAGGTCCACACATATACTATGCGGAGATCCAACTCTGTAAGTTTATAATCTGCGTATAAAGGCCCTTTTATACGTAAAAACTTAAAAATTGACCTTATAATTTCATGAGAACTTTGAAATGATCGACTCGTTCGTGTAGTGATTCACTTTAAAGGGTCTTGTTTATCGTACACTACAAGGACCCGTCAACTAGCATTTAGTTTATCGTGTTCATAATTGACACTAGCAAAGGACATTGTATTCACAGTCCCTAGTTGATGATGGAGCTTGACTATATCGGGAATAGTTATGCCCCACTTGGTACAGATTATGAAAATCAATTTGAATTGATTTTAGTTCGACAAGACCCTTTAAACTATAAGTATACGTATACGTTTTTGAAACAACTTATAACGAAAATTCTCTATTATCACAACACTGACATTGCTCACTTTTTAAAGTTGTTTCAAAGCGTTATATGTAAATGGGCGTGTGGAAGGCCCGTGGGTGGCAATAAAATAACTCGAACTTCAAATTAAAATATATATAAAATAGTATATTTCAAACTTCAATGTTTAAAATACAATGCTCTGTAATGTACAACATGAACTCTTACAACAACTACTGACAAGCCAACACCCAATGCAAACTCAGCTACATGTGAGTGAGAAAGACCATATAGGGGAACAATAGATATATAAAACTGACACAGTTTGCATAGTTGAATAACTGGTTTCAATAAAAGGTGAAAAGTGAACATGGTATTAAAAGAGTAAAACTGAAAACAACCTACTTAGGGACCTGTTATATTGAGATGAATAGGGATTGATTAATATGAACAGTAATAATATAAAATGTGAAAATGACCATGTTACATATACAAAAAATAACCCCATTGTTACAAAATCACAAAAAGTGAAATATCTATTCTTGTATTGCATTTTCGTTCACTGGACATATTTTAATTTGCATTGCTATTAGATACATTTTAAGGGTGATATGAAAATTGAACCACGAAAACAGATGTACTTTAAGTTAAAGGGAACTTTCTACCACGCCCGCCATGCTATCTGACCCGAACGAGCAGCTTCTGGTGAGATTGGTAACTACCTGCTCGCATCTGCGTTATTACGCAGAGACATAAACGTATATACAAGGAAACGATAGGAGATAACCTATTTTATCTCTGTATACATTTTAACTTTAATACATCGTTGAATCGAATTTGTCCAAAGGTCTTGAAACGTAAAATACCTAAATATTTATCTTTGACCTTGGGATGACCTTGTACAAGAAACATTAATGTTGACCTCGGTTCATCTAATCATAATTCGCCAAGGGCCATAGTATCATCAAACGCCAAATACCTAGACATTGATCGTTAATGCCTTGGTCACATATGCTCCGATTTTCAATCCGGCGCCCGGCCGATTGAGTATTTTGTTCAAAATTGAATACAATATTGAACAAAACACTCAATCGGGCGGGCGCCGGCCGATGGATCGGAGCATATGTGACCCAGGCATTACTTGGATTTAAATAAGGAGTATGATTTTAAAATTGGCTAGGTCGTGGTTAAGCAACAATAGTATGTTCGAAATACCGCTGCGTAATGCCTGGATCACATTTGCTGCGAGTATTTTGTTCAAAATTGAATACATTTCTGAACACAATACTCAATCGGCCGGGCGCCGTAGTGAAAATCGGAGCAAATGTGACCAAGACATAAAACAATTGAATAATACTGTATCAGTTTCACATTTACAGCGGTCAAAAGCATTTACAAAAAAAACGCCAGAGTTGGCAATCATATAAAATGAAACCAATCCCGCTGTGATTCATAGAAATAACTAATTTACTGCATTGAGTTCAATGTTATAACCATGTCGATTTACATGAGTGTCCGATTCATTGTACCAAATTTAAACCTTGATTGTTCTCCAGAAAGCAATAAGCTGACATATATATCATATTTTACATTTTAATACAACTGAAAAGATAATAAATGTTTTAATATAAAGTTGACGTAGTTATAAATGTTCTCAGCGTAAAATCAAAGCACAACCATATAATTAAAAACATTACGCTGGGATTCCAACTGGATACAACTGACGAGTTGTATTTAAGGTGGCCTAAAGTGCTGCTTATTTTTTCGTGAAGCCACTCAGTAAAATTACGATTTCTCTGCACCCTGATGTTCAATCAACATCATTCGAGTATCTATATGTTCCTGACACGTTCGCGGGCATCCGGTTATGACAACGTCTACCCAATGTTTGCACGAGAAATTGACGTAATTCATGACTGAAATCGGGAAGACAAAAATATGTGATATTCTTTCAGAA